AATGAAAGAAAGAACTGTTTTTCTGAATATCATAATGTGATTTAGCTAAAGCAAGTGTTACTTATTTTCTAACGTAATAAAAAATGTATTATTTTCATATTAGCAATAAAAGTTTTTGTATACTGCAACATCACTAAAATATATTTCAATGCCTGACGGTACTCTCAAATACCACTATCCCCCTGGAATGGGGGGATTGGCATATTTTGCTAAAATTGATTCCAAAGGCCTTCACTGAGTGTATTTTGATAGCGTTTTAATTCTGTCTGATTCTGTCACAAGGTTTCAAAATTTTTAACTTCTTGGGACACAAAGGGTTAATAGTAACAAAGCATATACATATTCTCAATTCTCAGCTAAGCTGAGGTCGCTTGCGGCCTGAGGCGTTTTAATATATGATGTTAAGTATGTTCAGTTGATTCCGCAAGCAACCTCGGCTTAATTAGGACAATTCATCTTATCCTATTTTGTGTTAATTGTGGCTTCTCAACCGCAAGCACCCTCGGCTTAACTGAAAGTGAGAAAGTATGGTTTCGCTTTATTAAGCTAAGATCTATAAGATCTAATGTGTAATGATAACTAATCTTTTTAAATTATTAATTAAATTCGTTATATGAAAAACTAGAGTTTAGCCGTGCGTCTCTTAAATCGGCTAAACCCGAATGTTTCCAGTTTTAGGTCTAGTGTTAGTTCCACTTTTAGTTTAATGAAAAATATACAACAACCTAACGCTGAATAACAAACTAGATCTAGAAACATTCGGGTTTAGCTGTGCGTCAGCAAAAGTGCAATATTGTTAAGAATAAAATTTGTTACATTTGGTTTTTTCTTAAGATGCTCCGATTCCAGAGAATTACCTCTAATAGAGTTTCTAGCTCTAGGTCTAGTGTTAGTTCTAGTGACAGTGTTTGATAGCACTAGTTAGCAGTAGATTACGCTGAATTGTTATATATTACTATTGAACTAATACTTTTTAAAGCGTTTAACCGAAACTTTCTAGGTCTAGTGTTAGTTTTAGTTTAATGAAAAATATACAACAATCTAGCGCTGAATAACAATTAAAACTAGAATTACTGTCTTTGATTTATACATCGTATAGACAACTCGGGGAATACCCGAGTTATATTTAAATATATTGATGTATTAAATAGGTAATATTAATAAGTAGCATGACTTTTGTAATTTTATGTATATTTATGTATTACATTTATAACGGTGATATTATCATATAATTGCATCGNATTCTACCTACGCCACTGAATTCTTCGTAAAAAGTTGCCCATATAATGTTTTATTTATAATACTCCATCTTTGATAATAAGTGAGATATTCGCGATTGTCGTTTTTGCAAAATTTTCAGTTTTTGCCGATAGATCGAAAACAAAAGACGATAGCTGTTCGTAGTTTTCGGCATTAGCATTTTCTCGAAAAACGAGATCATGACATGTAAGTTACTTTTTTTCTATCTCTTTTAGTTTTGGAGATGGCCTATGCGGACATCGAAATTGGGACACCCTGTACACTAGTTTTAACACTAGTTAGCAGTAGATTACGCTGAATTGTTATATATTACTATTGAACTAATACTTTTTAAAGCGTTTAATCGAAACTTTGTAGGTCTAGTGTTAGTTTTAGTTTAATGGAAAATATACAACAATCTAACGCTGGACAACAACTAAAATTAGAACTAACACTAGAACTAGAAACATTCGGGTTTAGCCGTCTTAAAAGACGTTCGGCTAAACCCAAATGTTTCTAGTTCTAGGTCGAGTGTTAGTTCCACTTTTAGTTCAATAAAAGTATACAACAATCTAGCGCTGAATAACAATTAAAACTAGAATTACTATCTTTGATTTATACATCGTATAGACAACTCGGGGAATACCCGAGTTATATTTAAATATATTGATGTATTAAATAGTACATCAATAAGTACTTTTGTAATTTTATGTATATTTATGTATTAAATTTATAACGGTGATATTATCATATAATTGCACCGTTTTATTAGATAGCTGTGTTGCATTGCGACAAACTGATTAAAAACGAAAATATTTCGAATGCACGAAGAGATAGAGATGCGATCCCTACACGTAGGTCTCAAATCGATATAACAGTGACCTAGTATCTTCAACCCCCCTTAGTCGAACGTTTCAAGACTAGAAAATAACCGTCTTTTTCAGTAATTTTTAGTGTACTTTTCATCGAACAAACACATTCATTAACTAAATAGGAGCAGCGCTGAGAATTTACGACCGTTGTAACAACAATTTTGTAACGAGGAATATTAAAATTAAAATTTATGGCCCAGTTTCTCGCTTTGAGAACTCGAAAAGAGTAATATCTTTGTTTTAATTATGTCTTTATTGGTAATTAAGATCTTCGTGTTATGTGAATTTGACTTTGGATTATGACTTGGGGCAAATTAATTGGTCGAATTTATTTATTTGAAAGCACACGCAATGTTTTTTCCTTTTTTAGCTTAATTTGTAGTTTTATGGGATATTATCGGATTTATTCAATTGGAAAATATGTGTTATTTACTTATAATTTAAAAAAAATTAAGGTGTATTATAAAATTGTAAAAAAAGTCTTACGAGTATTCTTCCTGTTGTGGTTTGTCCAGAAATTAATTCTCCAGCCCAATCTTTAGCTTCAGTCATAAAAGTTCCTTCAAACTCTTGTTTACCCTGTCTCGCAGCTTTTTGCTCCTTTTGTTTTGGGTCATTTGGTCCATACTCAGCATCTTTTCGACAGCAAAGAAACGCAAACGCCCTCCATATGAGTACAATGAGGAGACCGGCCAAGAATGTACAAATACTGCTTAATAAAAAGCACCAGTACTTCCTGACGGTAAGGCATTCCTCAATGCTAACGGTCGCCTCAATTCCTGAAGAAGACGGCGACGCCGAAGACACCGCCGACTGCTCAGTGGTCAGAACGACGGCGCTCGTCATGACGTCGTCCTCTGGGAGGCGACTTCCTTCCGAAAATCGTTCTTTTTCATACGCGTTTTTCAATTAATTTTTCAAATTTCGTTTTAAAAGTGATGAACGCGATCCGCGAAAACTTTTCTTTCATAGTTGTCCCCGCGAACCTTTTGAGGTGGACGCGCGGAGTTTTTTATTTAGAGCGCGGAACGTAATCAGAAGACGCCGAACGGAGACTGTTGCGACGGCGTCGCGGAAACCTTTACGATCGATACTCGACGGTGGGGACGTCGCGACGCTTGCGCCACCGACAAAACGGCGACGAAAACGACGACGCCGGGATTGATCTGGCGAGACACCACGAGTTTCTTCTTACAAATCTCACTTTTATCTATCTAGTTCTTTAATTCCTTCAAACACTTCATTAAGAAATATATAATTTAATAAAAAATATTTAACATAATCCCTTAACACTAATTCAACACCTAAAACTAGTTAAACACACGTGCAATTATGTTTACTAATTTTTTATAAATTCAAAAATAACCTTACAAATTTATTATAGGCAACCCAATACACATTTTAATTTCAACAAAATTTATTTTCTCTAAAAACACATTATAACGATTTAAATTATTATAATCAATTTAAAAATTTAAAATTTCTCGCACTATTTAAATTGCTTTCGACACCTTTCCCTTTTAAATCAAAATTTAAATTAGTTGCGTTCGATAAAGCTGATAAACATTTTCCTTGTTGCAATGATTGCAAAGGCATCGCCGACACCGATCGGAATTGATTTAAATTCACATCAATCGGTGGTAAAGTTAAATGTTTTCGATTCACGTTTGAACAACGTTTTTGAGTAATTTTTGGTTCCAAATAGGGTAACGAGGTGTATTCCTCTTGTGTCGTACAATTTAATACATTCCTCGTGCCGATATTCCCAGATTTATTTCCGAAAGGTGCTGGGGAAATTCGTAACAAACTCTCGAAGTCTCTTTCTAACATTTCTAACTGATTGTGTACCATCGTTTTTCTCCGTTCCCTTTGGATTGGTTTTGTCGGTTTGGGATGTGATAATTTGTGACACAATTTTGTTATGAATTCATCTATAGCGGGTTGAACTGGTTTCATACTGATTCGAGAAGACATTGGCGTTGTTGGGTAACTTCTCTTTCGTGTTGTTGAAGTTATTTGAATCGAAGATCTTTAATATAAAACACTTTATATACTATAATTCAAGAATCAACATGTCGCTTATATTTGTGCGTCTCTTAAGACGGCTAAACCTAAATGTTTCTGGTTCTAGGTCTACACTAACACTATACCTAGATCTAGAAACATTCGGATTTAGCCACACGTCTCTAAAGACGGCTAAACCCGAATGATTCTAGTTCCAGGTAAAGTGTTAGTTCTAGTTTTACACCAGCACTGTCTTGAGAGACATGCGACTAAATCCAAATGTTTTTAGTTTTTGGTCTAGTCTTAGTTCTAGTATGAACACAGAGTCTATTGTCACACAGTCTACCTAATGACAAAAAACAAGGGTGTTTCATACAAAAACCCAGTAAACAAGAAACATCTGTGAAACATTTCAATTTTAACGTACAATGAATTAAATGAAACATTTTACAACTACGTTTCATATACGTGACAGATACGATTGTTACGAAACGTATCTAAAGATATGTATCAAATACATTTCAGTAGGAATATTTATGAAATATCATTAAAATATGTAGCAGAAACATTTCATTTGAAACATTTCTCTACAAATGTGTCTGAAACATGTCTGAATATCTTCATCAGCGCCTGTGAACGTACGCGCATGTTCCAAGACGCGGTGACTCATCAGCGTCTTGTCACGACTTGTTCTATTGTGTGTTTTGTTCTGTTCAGTTCTGTTCTCAGTTCCTTTGAATCGTTTTCTATATATCTGTTCTGTGGCTCGAATATTGGTTTAGAATGGCGCAGATAAGTTTCATATAAGTTTTTTTATATATCACCACTAGGTTTAGTTATTTTTAAATTTATCTAAAAACATTCTTGTTTAAAATGGTGACTTAAATCTTGTGATTGAATTTAACCGAAGAATATTATATTGACATAAAGTTATTCCTTAACCAACGCGATGTATTCGCTGCGACGGCGATTGTTACGCTTGATAATGTTGTCGCCAAGTCGACACGGCGGCAAATGAACATGCACAAACGTGCCCAAACCGACTTTTTCAACTGTCAGGTGACAACGACAAAAACCGTGGGTGTAGCGATACTTTCGCGTCGGTCTGGGTATGTTCATTTGCCGCGGCTCCGTGTTGACCTGGCGACAACGTCATGCGAAACAATCGCCGTTACAGCGAATAAATCGCGTTGGTTAAGGAGGAGTTTAAAACGTTTTCCATGACCGAATTCTAATTTAAACATACATTTTAGTGGCAGTTAGGAAGAGCTTCCATTTAACTGATAAAGAATATGAAGTGATAGTAAGCAATTGGTTACGACAAGCGAATTTATGTTATAATAGGCGAAATAAGGAAACCGCAGATGAGATAATAAAGAATATTGTTATTTTCTTTTAGTATTCTTTCTTTCGTTTACTCGTCGCAATACTGAAAACGTAGTGCAAGAATCGCATCTCAAATAAAACAAATTTAAAAATTTTGTGTTGCCATTTCTCCATATATGTGTATTTTATGTAGTTTTGTACTTTTATGTTTTAGTTTTATGTAGGTTATTTAAATTTTAGTTAAATTTCTTAGTCTTGAACAATCATAAAAAGACGATGAAAGAGATCCCCAGCTTCTTCAGACTACAAGTAAAGAAGACCTATTTATTTTGTAAAAGTCTTATTGTTATAAGTGAGACCACATGTTGTAAAATTCTTTTTATCAAGAAAAATAAACAATTCCACGACTGTAGTACATCGTTTGTGGCATATTACTTGTTTTATTGTATTATCTGACATGTAAATTGTCATGTAACTGTTTTTGTAAGTTATTTTGTAATACTGATAGTTTCTCTTCATAAAAAGAATTTTACAACATGTGATATCTCCAATAACTAAGATAAAAAAAAATATTAAATACATTATTATAATTATTATTATTAAATATATTATAGGTTTTCTTTACTTGTAGTCTGAAGAAGCTGGGGATCTCTGGCGAAACATCACAAATATATGTGTTTTAATTGAAACAATGTTTCGTTTGAGAAAAAAAAATTCTTTCGGTTATTCATATATAAACAGAAGTAAAAATAATTAAAAATACCACTAATATGATCTAACAATAAATTTAACTTTGTATTTAAATGACCTACATAAATTATTGGAATGTTTATGTTTAATTTGTTTACAAATAAGAATTTTATTTTAGTTACCATTTTAATATATTTTGTATACATATTTACTAAATATATTTAATGCATACCTACTCTTATACTTACTTTATATGTCCTCATCAATGAGAAAACAGAATAGTAGAAATTAGTAAGCATGTATGAGCATCTTGTCCAGGATGCAGACGCTACACCTCAACGAAATTATATCTTTACATACATATGTACATCCCTGAAACGTCAACGAAACCTTTCAGAAATTATTTTTAAATGTTTATGATACATACTATTAATGTAATGTAAATGTAAACAAAACATTACAGAAATAATTCAAAACCATTAATGAAACATTTTAGTAGTGTACCGTAATTGTCAGCTGTATGTTGCAGAAACGTTTCAATAGAAACATTTCAATAAAACATAAAAAGGGTCGGACATTAGCAGTTTCAGACACGTTTCATCTATGTTTCAGAAATATGTCGAAGAAACGTTTCATGTTTCAATAATATGTATCAGAAATGTTTCTGAAACGCAAATTTGTTTACTGGGAACATGACTGCGGTAAGTTGGATTTGTTGTCTATAATTTTAGATATTAATTTTTATTCTTTTTGATTGATAAGGTTAATTTGCATAATTTCCGATCTTTGAAAGGAGATGAGTTGGTTAATCGCTTGAAGGAATGAGGATTCATCTCCAAGGAGGGTATAAGTGTCCTGAATGTGAGATCCCCTTGTATTACAACATTGCAGTAAGGCAAATGATGGATACTTGTGGAAGTGCAATGGGCACGTTTCCATTCGGAAACAGAAAAGAAAGAGGTGCAGTAAGGTTGTATCGTTTCGAAAAGGTACCTTTTTTGCACATTCAAAATTAGAAATATGGCAAATTTTAGGGTTCGCGTTTCTTTGTTGATTGGGCGTCGTTCTGTCGAGAGGTAGTCCTGGATAAATATCTGTCGCAGCCAGAAAGGTTAGGTGGTCCTGGTACTTCCCAGTACCACAATTATTTCGGATTTCTGGAAAGCATATGATTGCTTGGAAAGACAGGGATATGTACACCTTAAAGTTAATCACTCAATTAATTTTAAGGATGCGGAAACTAGCGCGCACACCAATGCAATCGAATCCACCTGGCGTCATACGAAGAGTATAGTATGTCAACATCTATCTAATAAGTATGGTGAGTAACAGATCATAGGATTTAAAGGTGAGTAACGAAAGGTTTAAAACATTCATAACCTGATTATTTGATGGATATAATTAAACTGGTCATAAAACAAGCTTTTTCTTTAGGAATAGGATGATATGCTAATCTTTCTACATTTTTATTTTTTTTTTATTCTATGTACTACTTTTAGTTAGTGACAATGGTACACAATGGCTAAACAAGTAAATTAACAAAAACTATTTACTAGAAAACTGGTTATCTTATACAGAAGGAATGATAAAACTCAGAACTGTAAACAATTTAAAATTACTCAGAGATACAGCAACCAGCATAAATAGTTTATGGTGCTCAAACAAAGAATTGGGTGATAACTCAAAGACAAACTAAGCATATTGTGGTAATCAAATATTTGGTATTTCTACAATCAAAACCGGATTTGGCCTCAAAATGTTAAAAACCAATTTTAATCAATATTTTAACTTTTATTTATAATATATATAAATCAAAAATATATATTTTACATTAAAAATCAACACAATTTTTAAACCATATTCACACTCCCCACAATATTAACAGTCCTTCCTTTATACTTTTTGGAAATATCCCCTTCAATTTCTTTTTGCAACCACTTTGTATACTGCACAGTCTTAACAATAACCGGCTGAACCTTTTTCATCTCCTCGCGAATCTCATTAATCTTCTCCTCCAACAAAACCTTATTATCCTTCATTCGTTGAACCAAAACCAATTTTTGCTTCAAATTACCCGCCAACAAATCAACATATTTCGCGGAATGTTTAACATTATGCAAATGTTGTACCCTTTTATTCGTCAATTCATTTAAAGCCGCATTTACCGAATCCAAAAGTGCCGTAATCGTCTCCAAAGTTTGCATTTGAAGGATCGTCGGGACGTCCAATTGGGTCATCGTTAAAACATTCGATTCTGAAGACATTTCGTATAAACGCATAATTAGGAAAGCTCTTAACTCAATTAAATCATTCAAAACTTGATCTTGAGTTTTTGGATTATCAAGAATCGTTAGGGCTTTATCATTTTTTGCAATTCCTCCATCCAAACCAGATTTTTCAACAACAATTCCAGATTCTTCTAAATTTATGTCTAAGTCAACGTGATCGACAATTTCAAAATCATCATCAGTGTTTGTTAAGGAACCCCAATCAATTTCACCTTCGTTTGACGTTTCTATTTGAATATTTTCTTCTCCAAAGTCGATATCATCACCAAAATCGATTGTTTCGTTATTTTCGTCCATTTTTTCATCATCGAATGTGATGTTTAAGGGTGGTGTTTCGATTTGGATGGGTTTTTCGCCGTAAATGTATTCGTATGTGGTGGTATTTCCGTTTTGGATTAGATATTTTAATAAAACCATAACATCCATTGGGTTATTACCAAGTTGAAATGAAAAAAAGGCGTCGTATAAATTTAAGGTGGGTTCTAACGTTTTAATATGTTGGGTGACTTTTTCATAAATTTCAGGTAATTCATCTAATAATTTAACTAATTCTCTTTTAATATCTTTTCCCTCAATGCCTAATTGTTTGCAAATTGTGTTAAATTCGTTCAATGCAGCTTGCTCAGCTTTTGAGTAATCTTTAAGCTTTTTTTCGCACTCCAACTGATTTGATTCCAATTTCAACAGTTGCTTTTTCAAGCTTGGTATTTCATAGCTTACATTTCTAATTAACATTTGCGCCACTTCCGCGAGATACACATTATCTTTCTGGTATGATCCTAAAATATCTTGCCAATCCTTCATTCGTTGCGATCCATACCTTCCAAATAAATTTTTAGTGTCCGCTTCCGTTTCTTTAAGGATATCGATTATTTTTAAACAATGAAAATAGTTAATGTGTTGCCCCGAAAGTAATTTTACGATCCCTTCGTGAGCCGGCATATCTTGAATTGCGTTATTAATCTTTTCGCGAACTTTCATTATATTTTCAACGTAATCTTTACCGACTTGACGTCTACTTATTAGCCATTCAAGAAGTTTTCCCGTGTTTATATCAATCGGAATGTTTTGTTCATCCATTTTTGTTACCTAAAAAATCTTATTTATTATTAAATAATTAATCTAACATATGTTGATGTGTACTTGACGTTTAAATGACGTTTAAATTCTTTTATAGGTTAGGTTATATTTTGAATTAAATAAAAACAATTTCGATTTCATAAAAATTACAACATTTATTAAAAAATTAAAAACTAAATCTTAATTTAAATCAAAATTGTTATTATTTATTAGTATTACTCAATTAATCTATTGAACGTATCCTTAATTTAATGACAATTCGTAAATATGTCAAATGTCAAATAAATGTCATTTCTTCCTTTCATAACTATTTAATTAAGTTAAAAACGATGAGTGCAAATGAAAATTGGAATTCGGAGGAATTAGATTCAGAAACGATAAAAAAACTAAAAGGGGATGTAATCGAAAATACCGCATACAGCAAAGGTTTTATTTTAAAAACTTTATTAAAGCTCTCAGACTTGAATTGGAGCGACGAATTAGAAGATGAATTGTGTTTTCTGTGGGATATGACTGTTGAAGAAGAAGTTTGTTCCTATTTAATAAAAATATCGTTTCCTTCGATCGCAGCAAGTTCAATTTTGAAATACAAAGATTTAACCCGCTTTGTAGAGATATTAATTGGAATCTTAGGAAATATAGTTAGTAAATTGTGTATAAAAGAAGTCGAAGTGATCAACACGGTGTTAGTATTTATGGAAAGTGATGATCATTTAATTTTAATCCAAGTAATTCGATTTATCAAAGGTTTAGATCATTTTATAAACGACAATAACGAAAACTTAATATACACAAAAAAAGTTATTGACAGATTTGGCTTTATTCTAACTAGTTCGCTTAACAAAGATTTATTATTAATAACATTAGATGTATTATCAAAAATAACAAGCAATTTTAAAATTAAAAATGAAGATCTAAGCATTGATATTGCTTCAAAGAGTTGGGTTGGTTACTTGGAAATAGCAAAACAAGAAAATGATGAAGTAATCCATCAACAATTCACTTTACATTTTATACAACTAATGTTAAATCTTTGTTTATACATTGATGAATTTAATAATGACGAATTACAAAAAGAAATTATTAAAAATAAGAAAGAAATTTGTGATCTTCTCTATAATGTGTTGATGACTAATTTAAATAGAATAAATCTTGATGAAGGTTTGGAATTGATCAAGGATGATACATTAATTTTTTATATTGAAGCTTTCGCAATTATTCTACCATTGATTAAATTCGAATCTAATGAAAACATTTTTAGTTTATTATTAAATGTTCTTTTTAAATTAATTAGTAATAATCTTAGTTTTAGTGAGAGTTTCTTGGAATTGTTGATTTATTTCATCCCAGAAATAAGTAATTCCAACAAACAAAGTAGTTATTTAAAGAAAATTAATTCTGTTTTAGATTATTGTAGTAAAAATAAATTAGATTTTAAAGATTTAGACAAAATAAGTCGATTTAAAAACGTTTTGGATGAAAAATAATCTTAGAAATTTGTATTCTTTATAATAAATTTAATAGAAAAGATGATTATGTTCACTATGCAACACCCTCCACAATACCTCTACAAATCCTAGACAAAAAGCAAGCAAATGATTTTCATTCTGATATTGTCAATGTCTTCCTCAAAGTATTTAATCTAATTATATTAAGCTCCCCTCTAGTTCCACCTTTAATCAAAGGCGCATCATCAGCATGTAGTGCCCCTGCTAGATACTACAGAGCTCTGGCGATCCAGTATCAGGATCCACTATTATAGCAGATACAAGATTCTATACAAAAAAACCAAAACCACCAGAAAAAGAATACCAAACAATAGGGTCTGAAGAACTGAGATCAGAACGAGGAAAAGTAGAATACTACATAGTGTAGAATCAATGAATTGTTAACGCAAAATGATAGGGAGGAAAAACAAGGATACTGGTCGATAGAATAAAGATGGATAAAACTACAATCATGGAGATATACTATGTTTACTGGAGTGCGTGCTTTGAGCTAGAAAACGAGCCGGCGTCCCCACCCCATAACGGCAAAAAGCTTCAACGTAACATACGTAACAATTATTTTTTTTTTCCTAACTATAATAACTTAAATAGGTTAACGATTCCGGTTCACGATGAACCGATTCCGGTTCATGTTTCATACTGAGTAGGACGTGCTTTACCTCGCTCCGTTAAATTACGATTTTATTTCTTCAAAATGCGTTTAAGTGCCGAAGATCTACGTCAAATCGAAGAATTATTCAACCAGTCAGTTAAAAGGATGTTTGAACAAGAGGATTTCTGCGTAAGGATCGCAAAATTAATTAATAAAGAAGTGGATTNTTAGACAAAATAAGTCGATTTAAAAACGTTTTGGATGAAAAATAATCTTAGAAATTTGTATTCTTTATAATAAATTTAATAGAAAAGATGATTATGTTCACTATGCAACACCCTCCATAATACCTCTACAAATCCTAGACAAAAAGCAAGCAAATAATAATAATAATAAAGATGTTAATTAAAGAGATGTGTCTAAATATGATCAAAGAGGGTCATATCAGGTCTTCAAAGAGCAATAGTCTCCTGATCAATCTGTTTTTCAAAGACCCTCATTTTGAATACAACAACAAAATCAAAAAGGTACAACCGAACGATTCAAGTCAATAAAAAAAACCAAAGCGACATTCAACAGAAATAACTAAATTAAATTAGAAAAAATATATTTTTCTTTCCTTTCCTCTTCAAAAATAATAATAATAACAAACTAAAATCTATCACCCAACAACTCACTCAAAAACACCTTAACTTCGCTCTTGAAGGAAATCAGACCAAGACCTTTGAATGAATCAGGTAGCAAGTTATACAAGTTAGGCATACAGTAAGAAAAACTACGTTTAAATAGTTCTGAGTGGTGGAGAGGTATCGTCAATGTATGTTTATGCCTAACATTAATATTGTGTATGTCTGTGCGAAATTTAATCTTGTTATACAGGTAAGGGCCGATCTTACAAGTGTTGGTATAATCAGTGGAATAATTTATTCTCGGCTTTAATTTAACGAATGCGTCTTATAAAGACTTTCTTATGCCAGAATAGTTATTCCAATGGTTGGTAATACTGTGGGTATAACGCGCAGCGCGCATGTGGTTTGTTTACGTTGTTTACGTTTAGCGACTGTCAAATTGATCAGCGGTGTTTACCATTATTCTGTTTTATTTTCATTTCACGTCCTTACGAATATGAATGTGAACAAAATATTTTTAAGTTTTGGTATTAATAGTTCTACATGGTAACAGTGCTAGTGTAAAACTAGAACTAACATTAGACGTAGAACTAGAAACAGCTAATCCAAATGTTTCTAGATAGTAAGAGTGCTAGTATAAAACTAGAATTAACACTAGATCTAGAACTAGAAACATTTGGATTAGCTGTTTCTAGTTCTACGTCTAGTGTTAGTTCTAGTTTTACACTAGCACTGTTACCATGTAGAACTAACACTATACCTAGAACTAGAATCATTTCGGTTTAGCCGCACGTCTCTAAAGATGGCTAAACCCGAATGATTCTAGTTTTAGGTATAGTGTTAATTCTGATGATAGTATTAATGTAAAACTAGAACTAACACTAGACCTAGAACTAGAAAGTTTCGGGTTTAGGCGTGCGTCTTCAGACGCACGAATGTTTGTAGTTCTAGGTCTAGTGTTAGTTCTAGTTTTATAGTTATTCAACAGTAGGTTGTTGTATATTTATGGAACTAAATGTAGAACTAATACTAGAACTAGAACCATTAGAGATTAGACGTCTTAAGAGACATATGGCTAAATCTGAATGTTTCTAGTTCTAAGTGTAGTGTTAGTTTTAATTTCTCAGGCCTGCGATCAAAAACCTTTTTTGAAACTGAAAGGCGATCTTCAATGATTTTTGGGTGCTGAATCCGGGAAAAATAATAAAAAAATTTCATCACCCTTAGTTTTTTTCGCAAATTTAACTTATTTTTGGATGTCTCACAAATTTTAAGTTGAAAATCAGCATTACGCGTTATTCATATAATAATTATTACGTCTGATTGATTATAATCAATGTCAAACAGTCTCTGACTTATTCCTAGTATAAGCTATTCGCGTTGAATGCACGGTATAGCTATCCTGCGCCGTATACCGTTACTTATGCTATACGCCGGTATTGTAAAACGTTTATTCTAGTCTTTATACCAATATTTAGTTATTCTTGGTATACGGAGCGGTATAAACTGTTTTGTAAGATCGGCCCTAAGGCGGTTTCTTGAACAGAATAATTTTATGGTAGAGACACAAACAGTGTAGAGTTCTACGTCGCGTCATATTCAGCCATCCGGCCCACGCCAGCGCATGTGATATGCGCTCCCCCCTACGTATACCGTATTTAAAACGTAAACAGGAATTTTGAAGCGTTTGGATCTTTGACATATGGACACTGTCAAGAGAAGAGTGATAAAATACATCGCCATAGTTAAATATTGACAATACTAGGACATCACAAAGCTGTATTCTACGTTTCTGATTCAAGATATATCTATTATTATAAAGCAATTTTAGGGTGGAATAGGCTCTCCGGAGAAGGGACTTGACATGCCCATTGAAGCGAAGACGTTCATCAATAATGATCCCCAGATTCCTGGCATCACTCTCAAAACCGAGCTCATTGCCAGCGACCTCGAAATGCATGTTGGATTTAACAAAATCAGTAGAACCCTTATCACCAAAAGCCATAACTGAAGATTTTGAGGTATTTATTTGAAGACCAAGCTTACTAGCAAATTGTTCAACACTGCGTAAATCATGATTTATATTGGCTTCAGCAGTCTCAAAATCGCACATGTTAAAAGAATAAAGAAGCTGAGTATCATCCGCATATATGTATGGCGTACAATTATTTAAAACATTAGTAAAGCCAATAATAGTGGAAATCAGATACAGCAGAGGTCCCAAAATAGAGCCCTGAGGGACACCGGATAAAATTTCCGCGGGGTTGGATCTCCCACCATTAAACGCTACAATCTGCTTTCGATTAGACAAATAACTTTGTATAAAATGAATTGAGTCCAAAGATAAACCAACGTAATGAAGCGTACCTAACAGAATGTCATGGTGAATTCGATCAAACGCCTTAGAAAAATCCAACAGTACTAAGATCAACACCTTGGAGAGTAAAGGCAAAATACTAATCGGCCTCAAGTCGCTCAACTCACTAGGATTAGTAGTCTCAGGAATTGGAGCCACCAAGGCACACTTCCAAGCATCAGGGAAAACCGAATGCTCTATAGAACAATTGACAACGTGGCACAAGAAGGGTAAAATAATTGGACAACACAATAAAATCATTTTGGTAGTTATGCCATCAGTACCAACTGCATTAGACTTTATTCCCCTTAGAATGCTAAGAATTTCCGATTCAGTTGCAAGAGAGAAGCTAAGCTTTTCTGTGACTTGGGAAAGGGAGTTGTCCCAATAAAATTCGATTAACTCTGCATTTCCAGCCGAGTTAGTTTGAGTACTAAGAAAGAAATCGTTAATATCGTCAGCATTAAATCCGGCATTTATCAGTACATGAGTTTTATTTTTGACAACGCCTAGCTCCACTATGTTATGGACAGGCACAACACTACTATCCTCAACAACTGCATCATCAAAAACTATAACATGATCTATCAGCGTGATAGGTAGAATGATTTTCATTGTGATATTGTCAATGTCTTCCTCAAAGTATCTAATCTAATTATATTAAGCTCCCCTCTAGTTCCACCTTTAATCAAAGGCGCATCATCAGCATGTAGTGCCCCTGCTAGATACTACAGAGCTCTGGCCATCCAGTAGCAGGATCCACTGTTATAGCAGATACAAGATTCTATACAAGAAAACCAAAACCACCAGAAAAAGAATACCAAAGACTAGGTCTGAAGAACTAAGATCAGAACGAGGAAAAGTGGAATACTACATAGTATAGAATCAATGCATTGTTAACGCAAAATGATAGGGAGGAAAAACAAGGATAGAACAATGGTCGATAGAATAAAGATGGATAAATCTCAAAACTACAATAGTAAAAGTAGTCGCAAAACAGAAAATAACAACATTTTAGAGTGAGGAGATGAAACAGGAAGTGAAAGAAAACAAAACGGCATAGAAAAGGTATCTACAGACGAAAAAAGAAGAATACAGATCGAGCTACATAAACAGAAGGAAGGAAGCAAGAGAAGTAGTAAGAGAAGCAAAGAGTAAAATAAGTGAAGACGCCCGAAAAGAAATGGAGGTATTGTTTAAAGACAACATAAATCATAAGAAAGAGTTCTGAACTACAATTAAACATCTAAGGGGAAATATGGGAATAGAGGTAAGCAAAATACTGGACACATCTAGTAAACATTAGTTTCAATCGAATGCCGAGGACCTTTGGTTGAGTGTATGCTTTTGTGGCTCGCGAGTGTTGTTGTGCTGCGTATATTTGCTTCCAAGTGATACTGTGTCATTTAACCCTTTCCTACGTCAACTTCAGTACGTGCGCGACCGGTCTCCAGACACACCTATATTATTGGGTGATTTCAATATACCCAACATTTCTTGGGCCACGTCAGTCGCGGGAAACCTTGTTTCTGTTGTCGTCGCTAACCCTCGTGCGACTGAGTTACTTCTTACTGTTTCTTATTGTAATTTGTCTCAGTTTAATAATATTGCTAACAATAACTCCAGATACCTAGATTTAATTTTGTGTAACTCAGGAGGAGTCGATTCGGTGCGCTCCTGTAACGATCCACTAGTTGACTTGGATGGGCATCACCCTGCTTTAGAATTTTTGTTTAAGTTTGATAAACCTCATGTCTTGCGTGAGAGCCCATCGGTCACCTGGAGGTTTGATCGTGCGGATTTTGACGGTCTCAGGGGTGAGCTGACAAGTGTTGATTGGCGCAGTTTGTTTAGTGGGTTAGATGTAGACCTTTGTGTTGATACTTTTTATTCTGTTTTATATAGGTATATGAATGAATTCGTTCCCCAGAGCTTCTCCCGTAATAATCGTTTTCCTCATTGGTATACGCCTTCCACTATTAAATCTGTTAAAGAAAAGTTGAAATATCATAAAAAGTGGAAGAGATGGGGTAATCGAAACGGCTGTCTTTCCTTTAGTTTCCAGCGCAAGCGTGCCAAAGCTTTAATTGCTGCTGATTATCGCACTTATCTGAATCGCGTTCAGAGTAATTTGATTGATTGCCCATCTAGTTTGTGGTCTTTTGTTAAAAGTAAGAGACGCGAATGGCGGCGGTATTCCGTCTCGAATGGAGCTGAACGGTGAAGTGGCAGACGATGGGAAGCGAATAACTAAACTTTTTTCTCAGTTTTTTAGTTCGGTTTATATCGACAGTTGCCTGAATACCTCTCACAAGCAAAATGTTATTTACCAATCGCAGCCTTGGTTCTCTGAACGTGTGTCTCTCACCTTCTGACACAAGTCGACCATAAATTGGGCCCTGGCCCCGATGGCTTGCCAGGATACTATATTGCTAAATGTGCAGGAGAGTTGGCAACTCCTCTATTCATTATATTCAACCGCTCCATTGAAAATTCAGTCTTTCCATCTGAATGGAAAAAAGCCTTCATAACTCCAGTCTTTAAATCGGGTAGCAAACATTTTGTGTGCGGTTTAAATTTCGCTTCAGTAGTGTGGAGTCCTACCTATAACATCGACCTTATTGAGGGCCTACAGAGAACATTTATCCGTTATCTTGCTGTTTAATAAAAACGATGATTATGTTCATTAATTAAACTCCAAGGTAGAAGTAGTCAAAAAAAAAATGTATATGTCGACTTATTCATAATCAGTGAACAGTACAGAGATCGCGAAGAACCCGAATAGTTCGCGGACACCCTCGGTACCGCCGCCATATGGGTCCCACATCACACTAAAATAAATGTTAAAAAACACGGCACGAGAGAAGGTCACGTTTGGCTGCAAATGATGGATGCAACGTATATAAGTTGTTACTTCACCCCGAATGAACCTATATAGGAATTCCAGAGAAAACTAGATCTGCTCGAAGACACAATTCGCGAACTCGGTGGAAGAATAATTGTGGACGGCGATTTTAATTCAAAAGCGACTGAATGGGGCGCGACCAGAACAGATTCGAGGGGCCGACGCGTGCTCGAGCTGGCGGCCAGAACCGGCCTCATCCTAATAAACGCCGGAAACACCACCACCTTCAGGAGAGTGGGATATACTCAGACGATTCCGGATTTCACCTTCGCATCGGAAACCCTGGCGGGCCGCGCCCATGAGTGGAGAGTGCTCGAAGAATACACAGGTAGTGATCACCAGTACATTAGCTTCGTTGTTGGCGACCATCGATCAACGGTAATAAAAAACATGGGGAATTGTATAAAATGGAACGCTGCAAAAATGAATGCGCCTACTCTCTCTGCCGTTATAACGGCAAACCGGGACGCCGTTCTACAAGTAAGCGACTCTGCTGACCAAATAGCAGCGAAAACTATGTATGTGCTAAGAGACGCATGTGAGGCTTCTATGCCAAAAAAAATAAAGCATCGTTCAAAGCCAGCAACGTACTGGTGGACGCCTGAGATAGCAGAACTCCGCCAGGCCTGTCTTCACAGTCGAAGAAAGCTTACCAGGCATAAACGCAGAGACTCGCAAAATGTAACACGAGGGATGGAGGAGCTGAAACGTGCCAAAAAGCTGCTAGAAGCCGCAGTCTGGGAAAGCAAGAAGAAGAAGTGGGAGGAGATGCGGGAAGACGTTAATCGCGACCCATGGGGCCTGGGCTATAGGGTGGCCGTGAAAAAACTCGGTCACGCTTCTGCACCTGTAGTGTTTGACGCCGAGATGATGTTACCCATAGTCAACGCACTCTTTCCAAACCAACCCAAGCAGAATTTTACATCCCTACTCAACACGAACGAGGCTCCCCCTTTCACCGAGGAGGAATTAGTTAAGGCTTGCGCGGCGATGAAGAATAGAAAGGCCCCAGGCCCAGATGGAATTCCTTCGGAGGCCCTTAAGGTGGCCGTTACAACATTCCCTGATGTCATGCTACACATGTACAACGCATGCCTTAAAGAGGGTACTTTCCCCGATGCTTGGAAGGTACAGAGATTGGTTTTGATTCGAAAAAAAAAGGCGATCCTTCTTGTCCATCTGCATACCGACCCCTGTGCATGCTGGACACCGCGGGGAAGCTGCTTGGAAGGCTGCTTCGGAGCAGATTAAATAATGTAATAGAGAGCACAGGCGGACTAGCAACCAGACAGCACGGCTTCCGCACTAGCAGATCGACGATAGGAGCCGTCAAAGAAATAGTCTAAACTTTTAATGAAGCTCAACGAAAAAACCATTACTCTAGGCCCATCGTAGTACTGATCATCTTAGACATTAGAAACGCTTTTAACTCTGCGCGCTGGGAGGAGATCCTCCATACCTTGGAACGAAACTTCGCAACCCCGGACTATCTGATGCGGATCCTGGGAAGTTACTTCACGAATAGGATTCTATCCTACAATACCCTACAAGGCCCAAGAACAAAGGGGATGACATGCGGAGTGGCGCAGGGGTCCGTCCTCGGCCCGGTACTGTGGAACGTCTTCTACGACGAGATGCTGCGGCTGCAGTTGCCTGACGGAGTTTTTCTTGTGGGCTACGCGGACGATTTGGCTGCGGTGATCCAGGCACGGAACGAAACCGATCCTCAGAGAAGCATAAACAGAGTAATGAGAAGGGCAAGCTGTTGAATGATGGACTGCGGTCTGACTCTTGCGGCTGATAAAGCGGAAATCATCCTGCTGACTGGACGCCGCATACCGCTGGAGATAGGTTTCAAAGTTCAAGAGACCGAAATCGTCAGTCGCAAAGCCCTGAAATATTTAGGGGTAACGCTCGACAATAGACTAACATTTCGAAATCATGTGAGGTGTGCCTGCGACAGAGCGGCAAAAATTACAACAATGCTGAGTCGCATAATGGGAAATGTAGGCGGACCGACTGCGACCAAGCGCAGACTACTTATGGAGGTCTCAAATGCCATAATGTTATACGGCTGCGAGATCTGGGCCGATGATCTAAAGCAGGATAGCCGTAAACGTCTCATATCAGTCCAAAGAAGAAGTGCCCAGCGGATTACATCTGCGTATAGAACATACCCCCCCTTGACCTACTAGCTGCGGAAAGAAAGGAGGTATATGAGATAAAAGAGGCAGTGGAACCGATACAAGCGCGTAAGCAGGCTAGAATGCATACCTGTGATAAATGGCAGAAGCTATGGGACGAAGAAACCCGAGGCAGGTGGACGGCTCGACGGACCCCACGTATCCAAATTTGGCGCAAATTTTGCGGTATTATAAACAAACGTAAAAGTAACCATATGTTTCTATTTTGTTATACGTACCTTAACCCGACGACGTGGAGTCTTCGATGCCTACGTACCTGTATTTGACGTGCAGTAGATTCACTGAAGTACTGAAAAATCACTGAAGACGGATGGGGGATCCCCAAGCACACGAAATGCTCCGATGAAATACCCAGAAGGGTGGTCCCGGAGCTGTGGAAAGAGGGGACGTTTTTAGTGGGTAACTTAGGGACTAGAGTCCCACACTTCCGGCCGAAGTATTTCCTAACACATCACCATCTACAAGCGCCAACAGTAGGCCGGGGTGCGTAACGCATTTTCTCCTCCTCAGCGCAAAAAAAAAAAGGTAGAAGTAGTAACTACTGTATCAACTCCGACACCCTATACAGCACTTTCCACAATATCTCTACAAATCCTAGAAAAATAAGCAAGCACATGATTTTCATTGTGATATTGTCAATGTCTTCCTCAAAGTATCTAATCTAATTATATTAAGCTCCCCTCTAGTTCCACCTTTAATTAAAGGCGCTTCATCAGCATGTGGTGCCCCAGCTAGATACTACAGAGGCTCTGGCGATCCAGTATCAGGATCCACTATTATAGCAGATACAGGATTCTATACAAAAAAACTAAAACCACCAGAAAAAGAATACCAAAGACTAGGTCTGAAGAACTAAGATCAGAACGAGGAAAAGTGGAATACTACATAGTATAGAATCAATGAATTGTTAACGCAAAATGATAGGGAGGAAAAACAAGGATAGAACAATGGTCGATAGAATAAAGATGGATAAATCTCAAAACTACAATAGTAAAAGTAGTCGCAAAACAGAAAATAACAACATTTTAGAGTGAGGAGATGAAACAGGAAGTCAAAGAAAACAAAACGGCATAGAAAAGGTATCTACAGACGAAAAAAGAAGAATACAGATCGAGCTACATAAACAGAAGGAAGGAAGCAAGAGAAGTAGTAAGAGAAGCAAAGAGTAAAATAAGTGAAGACGCCCGAAAAGAAATGGAGGTATTGTTTAAAGACAACATAAATCATAAGAAAGAGTTCTGGACTACATCTAAGGGGAAATATACACAGTTAAACATCTAAGGGGAAATATGGAAATAGAGGAAAGCAAAATACTGCACCTACAACACAAATTGTTGTTCTTTCTAGTTACGAAACATTGACAACTGTGGAAACAGCGAATTCAGAGACACCTTATATCAAGAGAGAAAAATTTCTGAACTCGGGTATTTCACAGAAATATCTATGCTCTGTGGAAATACATCCGAAATAAAATGAAGCTTAAGGTAAAAATGTTTTTTGTGCTAAATATCTTCAGAAACCTACGCTGCACGGATTGAATGCAGTTAATGTGAATAGCATAATGAGGGTTCTAGACAGTAGAGGCGTAGCTAAGAACACTAACCACTAACGCCATATAAAGAGATTTAATGCATTGAATAGTTGTGAACACACGGCAGGTGCTAATCGTAAATCCCAACCGTTTTAGAGCCTTGGCAATAGTCAAGTCCACATGTAAATTGAACATCAGCCTGCTGTCAAACAAAATTCCAAGATCATTAATGTGGTTATAATTTTAGAACACTTATCGTAGTTCAGGAACAGGCCATTATCAGCGGAGTAAAGCTGGAACCGGTCCAGATCCTCCTGAAGATTTTCAGAATCATGTTTAATTCCAAAATAGTAAACAAAGACAAATAACGTTTTCATTTTCTATTAGCAACAATTTTAAGAGAAATTCTGCTTTTTATACCTTTTATTTTCATTAAAAAAAATTCAACATGATTGGTGTAATTAAGATTTCGCAATTAAGTATTTTATCGTTTGTTTCTCTATTACCGTTTGTAAAACAAATTTTTATTTTTGGGACGAATATTAATTTATTAATATATAACTATAATTTATTTTTCACATCAATAACAAAAATCTCAATGTGTTTATGTTGTAATGTTTACTTTTAACCAGTACACAAATCATTCGAATTAGATGGGTCCAATTGTTTTGCATACAATCGAACGAAAACTTCTAGTGGACAATAAATTCCGCAATTAGGAATAGAAACAGGTTGAGGTTCCAAATCGTTATCGTAGTCGTTATGAAGAAACTACAAATTTTTAAACTACATATTATTTAAAAAAAAGTTATTATTTTACCTTTAGGAAATAAATTCCACTAAATTTATGAACTTCTATAATAATATGTGCTCCATAATTCGGAATGTGCGCAATAAAATTATCTAAGAAATATAAAATTGCAGCAACGTTTTCATCATGACCTGAATATAAATAAATTTTCTTATTTTTTGCTTCATTCACGCCATTTATTGTTGAATAAGTATTATTAATAATTTTTGAAATCAAAAATCCAGGTGTTAAAGTTTTTAAATCGCCCATCATGTGACATTTTAATCCATTTTCTGATATTTCTCTTAAAATATCAGGATATACTCTTTTAGTCCATTTTGGTAATTCCATACCAAGATCTTCTTCAGATTTTAATGTTGAAAATAAAAATCTAGCCACATTGTAAAAGTTGTCATTCAAACCTGAATTTTCTAGTAAAAACGGATATAAATAATTATATTTTTGATATATCGGATCTGAGTCGAGTTTAATATAATTTTCGTTTAACAATTTAAGTCCATTTGGACAAATTCTCACTGAACTAAATAATATGTTTTCTTTGGCGGGTAAATAATCGTAAGGTATGGGTTCCCAAAGTAAATTTTTCTCCCAAATTAATTCTTCGGATGGGGGGTATAAACCCGCTAAAACAGCTTGAAGACTCGCTTTAGTTCTTGGAAGATGAGATGAAATCGCACTTAAAATATCCGGAGTATAGACATCTCCAAGAAGGTTATTATATTTTCTACGGAGGTACGTTCCAAGGTTATAGGAAGTCAATTTTCCTTTATTTGTTAAATGAGCAATTCTGTATGGATAAAAATCTTCTTCGGTGTATGGATCATTTGGATATAAACTGTCTGGAGTTCTATCGCCATGTCTAAAAATCTTTAATAAGTAAAGATCAATTACAAAAAGACATTTAAATAACAATTTAATATTTATAGTTTTATCTTAAATAATTTTATTGAGAACTCAGAGCTCACGAGAATAAGAGAACACTTTATTGAACCAGACATTTACAAGAAAAATTATGAAGGATCACACAGATAAAATAGGACGATGAAGAACCTTATTGTGTCGACGGATATCCCTTCGCAGAAATAGAAAAACTTGTTTGTACAAACACCAATAGAGCACCAAGGATTTATGGTTTATCGAAAATCCATAAACCAGACATCCCGCTACCTATGGCAATTTAACTTACCTACATACCACTTTGCCAAACTATTGTCGCCCTGTACAGGAAACACGGAATCACACATTAAAAATTTTACACATTTTATGGAATTCTTCTTCTTTCAGGAGGCGTGTCGCATGTTTAATTTCGGTTTCTCTATATTAGCGCTTCTTGTAATGTTGATGCCAACTGTCATCGTTTAGGAGGCCGTCCTATAGATCTTCTTCCCAGTGCTATGTTGTTTCGTAAAATCTTATTTTCTCTTATGTTTTCATCTTGCCTTTGTTACTGATGTTTCAGCTCTTGTTCCACTCGATAATATCATCTGTGTACTGATCATACACATGTTTTGTATATTCTCGACTTATAATCTGTACTTGGGTGTTTGTTTCCCCAGATTGAGTATCCGCCCCGTACTTGTGATTTTGCAACCAAGGTATTCGAATGACAATGGTTATGCATTTGGTCTTGCCTATAGAAATTTTCACGTTAAGTGTTCCAAACTGTTTATTAAAAGCCTGTAACCTTCTGTGCAGGTCATTTTCTGAATATGCTATAAGTACTGCGTCGTCTGCATAACATAATGTGTTTATTTCATTTGTGCCCATTCGATATTCTAATTCTGCGTTTTTACGACCTTTCATCCATGATTGTGTTGAACAACAGTGGGCTAAGGCTGTCACCTTGACTTTGTGTTTAGGTCCTTAATATGTTTTGTGTATTCTCTCGACATATTATTGTTTTCGAGGGTCGTGATAACATCTTTTAGTTTCACACTATCGAAAGCCTTGCTTACAGGTAAGCAGGGGTGCTATTTACATACTATAGAATTTTCTAGGAGTTGTCTAAGTAGGAACAGTGCTTCCATAGTAGACCGCTTTCTTCAAAATTCCTGTTATTCGTCGGCCATTGGGATTATTGAGGCTATTTTGTTTTACGGAAGAATTTAGCAATGTTATTCCTCGGTAGCTGGATTTGTTTTTTTTAAAGATGGGTACTGTTACGCTGTGTTTCCATTCTTCTGGATTTTTTTGTGTTATAATACAATATTGAACGTTTTTCAACTGGTTTGGCATGTTGTATTAATTTAAGGATTTCCTGTTTTTGAGGTTTTCAATTAACTCATGTTATTCTTGGGAGTCGTTTTGTGTGCTTTGTATTTATGCTTCCAATGGGTTTTCCGTAATTGCGTATAAATTTCTGAAGTATTTTTTCCACGTATTCTATATCCCATATAGAAAGAAGTATTTCACATTTTGTAAAATTAATTGACAATATTTCCCTGGATCTACGGGACACATTTTTAACTTTGACTTGGAATCACTTTTTCGTAAATTACCAGCGACTTAACAAAGATGACATCGTGGTGAGACGTAAAATAGTTTGAAAACTACCGAACGCATTGCCGATAACAAAATACAAGTTTTCTCCATTAAAGGGGCTACAAGTTGAGATTGTCGTGCAAGTATGGGAAATACTATGTAGAGCAAGACTAGACAAAACTTGGAATGTCGCATAAAGGAACAGAAAACATCAGATTAGGAAAAACAGAGCAGTCGCACTGTCACAGGAACCGATACCACAAAATAGGTTTTGATAAGACAAAAGTATCTTCCTCGGGAGCAGCCAGTGCCTCATAGAAACTTATTGTCAAAACAATAACATCAATAGAAAAAATGATATGGAGCTGAACCGAACCTAGAAAAATAATCTGGATCCGTTGAAGACCTCCCCCATCCGTACCGAATGCGGCAATTAGCGAAGACTTATTAGTTCATTAACAATTATTTACTAGAGTATATATTTTAAACTTTCCACCGATGTTGCCACTTTTAAATGATATTTCAAACGCTGAACAATATTTTACACAGTGTATAATTCGAAAGTTTCTTGGCCGATTGTGTTGACTGATTGCTTACCAAATTGTTTGGACGTACTCTTCAATAGTTTAACTTGATATGGTGATTTGGCATCAATAACTGAATAATAAACAACAATTTTGACAGACGGCGCCAAGACAACATTGCAATACTTTCAATTCACAATATAGTGAGTATTAATTTGATAATTTCTTCGTCTGTATTTTAAACGTTGATTTATACTGGAGTTACGCGAGTTTGTTAGAAATTATCTTCTTAATTATCGTTTTCTTCAATCGAAGATTACCTTTTAGGTCTTTTATTGACCATGCATTGTTTGCAATGGTTTGCATGCAGTTTAGCAACGATTTGTCAGTATTATGTAGTATTATAATCTGCTAAAGAACCTAATTTCTTTACGGTCTAATTTAGTTCTTCTTCCATCTTCTAAAATATACTAAAGCCTGTTCCTTCATCGGTTTTGCTCTCATCTATTCTCCAATACTTCTTCCGCCGTCAGATAATTTGTCTCTTGCTACTCGCACAAGTCTATTGGTTGCCATTCTGTTGATGCGTTGGTTTCATTCTTGTTTTCTATTTAGTACTCATTCGTTAATATTTACCTTAATACACCTCGTTAGTTGTTTGGTTCCTGTCTGTCAGTTTTCTTAAACATGAAAATCATTATACAACTTTTCCAGGCATCAGATATTTTACTTTATAATATGATTCTTTAAATACGATTTGTTAGTTTTTGTATCAATCTCTGACTGAAAAGACCATATGCCTTTATAATGTCTAGTTTTGGAGTATAGTCGAACGAAAACTTCTAGTGGACAATAGATTCCACAATTTGGAATGAAAAGGGGTCCAGGCTCCAAATTATCATCATTATTTTCATGGAAATGTTGTTTGTATTACCTTTAAAAAATAAATTCCAAGATATGAACTTCGACGATAATATGAGATCCATAATTGATAATGTGAGGAACCTAATTGTCTAAGCAACATAAAAATCCACTAATATTAAGATCCTGTCGATTTTTGCTTCATCCATATTTCTCTGTTTCATGTCATTTGTAGCAAATTTCTCCCCCCAATCTTCTTGATGTCATCCAACCATCTCAATTGCAGTCTTTCTACACTCCGATTTATTGTCCAGGACCTCCACTAGTAATTTTTTTCCGCCATCTGAGGCTGTCTTGTGTTGCACCATGTCCTGTCCATCATCACTTCAGGCCAGGAATCCTCGCCACTACGTCTGTGATCTTAGTGCGCCTTCGGATTCATTACGTACTCTATGTCTGAATGATAATCCTCAGTACTGACTCTGTGATATGTCCTTAGTCTATTAGCATTTTTTTTCGTGAGCGCGGTAATTTCCAGGCCTTACGTTGTTACCTGTAGTATGCAGAATACGAAAAGTTTACGGTTTTAGGTTAATAGGCATAGCTGGGTTTTTGAGGATGAAGCCGAGTTTAATAAACGCTGTCCATGTCAATTCTATCCTTCTTGTTATTTCGGCGGTCTGGTTTACTTTGTCCAGCTTGATATCGTGACCAAGATCTTTGTCTTTTGAAGGTTTATCGTTGGACCCACTTTTGCTGATACTTAATGGAGCTGCTCCAGCATATTTTCTATGCTCTAAATTTGCCAAAGTTGGATATGCATAGCTCTTTATCAGTTTACGCCTCTCTAGTTTAGTGTTGATACTGATTTTCGCTCTTATCAAGTTGTAGTCGCTGCTAGTATTAAATCGGTTAAGGACATTGACATCCATGCAAATCTTTCTCCTGTTAGTGAGCATGTAATGTATTTCATTTTTCATCGTGTTGTGTGGGCTTTTCTATGTCCACTTTCTTAGGTTCGGTAAGTTTGTCATTTCCATGCGACCTATCTTTGCGCTGAAGTCTCTTATCACGACAACAAAACTGGCCCTCTTCGTGCACCTTAGTCATCGTAAACTGCTCGGCCTCTACGTCTTCAGCAGCTCTAGTCGGAAGGTAGGTTTGGATCACCTGGTATAGAAGTCATTTAATTTCCGCAATTGACCGCAATATATATCACTCTCTCTGAGATGGCATACCTTTTGCTGTGTTGCTTAAGGTCCCTGTGCAGCATAATTGCCACTCTTAAAAAATATAAGTCGCGACTTGGAGTTCATAATCATTATCACAATGTCTTTTGTAAAATGATTATTGAAATACCGCTTTCCAAAATAGGGGCAAATTAAGAAATTGAACGAATTAAGAAATTATGTATTCTTACTTCCTGCTTTAAAATACACACCATGTGTGTTGAGATCTGGATATTGATAATCTTGACATTAGGAAAATTCATAGGGAAATAGGGAGTAGGGAAATTAATGGTATCAGCTTTGCAGGTTTAATAGCTAATTCATCCTTACAGATGTTTCCTAATAATCACTAAGCACTCTACGCATCAAACACTGCTAAATAGTAGGGGACTTATGTAAGCGAAAGGATTTTCTCTTAAAGTGGAACAGTTCTAGACCCGGAACAGTCAATGCAATAATCGGTCTCAACTCTTCCGATACTGGAACCACTAAATATCAACTTGAAATCAAAAACAGAAAAAGTTGAAATAAAAGTTATCGGATCACCTCCTTCAACACCCTATAATCAAAACATTACCACGATAGGAATTCTGCAATGACGTGCAGAATTCTAAAGCACTACATTACTATAGAATATAAAAAGTATGTTTAGTATTTACATGTCTAACAAGAGTCATATTGTTCTTCATGTCTGTTTTCTTTCTTACTTTGTTAAACTCCCTTTGTCTTTCTGTTGTTCTTTTTTGTATGTATCTTGCAAGTGTCCTATTTTTTTTTAGTGATTTCAATTAGTTTTGCAAGAAGTGGCAGTTGTTTCTTTCTTCATTATTTCTTCCTGCTTCCAACATTCTTTATGGAAACTTTCTGTATTTTTTATTCCCTCAGTATTCTTATTTATTTACATTTTTATTTACCTTCAACCTTTTTTTAGTTTTATTTGCCATCCCACCTTCTTCCTTTTTTGTCTGTATTACTTTAGGGTTTTTTGTGCATTGCCTTTCTACTTTATTTATACTTTCGTTCTCCCTGTTTCCTTTCTTTTTCTCATGGCAGTATTATCCTAATTATACCTAATTATTGACTTGATTTTGTTTGATTACTTAAACAACAAGTTGTGTTCGAAGTTAAACACATTTCTACTCTGATTTCTTGTTTTTTAAAAGAGCATACTAAGATGCTACAAAACGTAGACGACGCCAACGTGATTTATTCTGGTCTCTCAATTAGAAGGGGAGATCCTTATCTCGAAAGAACTGATTCTCTTAATTCTTCTTGTCATTCTTGCATTTTCGAGTGGATTGATAACCGACACTCACATAACCTAGAATTCATTTTATTGTATGTAGGTAACTATTGTTCTACATATTTCAATCAATATTTCTCGTCATTCATCTTCATTATTTATTTGTTCTTAAGATTTGATTTATCGCCAATTTCAGAGTATATCTAATAATCTCCCAATCTGTTTCTTTATTAACTAATGATATCATCTAGATAATGGCTGATTGGAGTTCAACGAATTTCTCCTATATCGCGATTTTAAAAAGTTTTCTCTAATTAATTTGTAAAACAATTTTTATGTAATAATTAATAATAGTTATTTATCTACGACTGCTTGGATAAGTCATCATTACCACACTCATTTGGAGTGATTTGAGTTACGTAATGAAGTTCATTACCGCACTGGTTTTATTATGTAACGCATTTTAGCCCAAACAGAACAGGCTTAATTCATTGAAACGAGCAACAATATAAAAGAAAAAGTTGTACCTATTTAAAGAGAAATAATGCTATTTATTATAAACATTAATTGTTATGTTTTTACATTTCGAAACACTTATTCCAGATGAGTAAACATGTTATTGAAACATGATATTAATTCAAAATTGTCAACAATCATTTCAAAATATTTTTATAAATGTCAAAATAGACCTTTTGAAAGAAATTGATTTCTAAGTAATTTTTAGCAGTCGTAGATAAACTGTATATCACACGTGAGCTAGAGCATAATTACAGTACTCGTGTGATTACACACACGTATAGTAATTATGATTCTAACCCCCTTGTAATATAAATAACTATTACATCGTTTCAAAAAACGACAGCAAATTATTTTATGGAATCAGTTAATAGCGAAAACTGTATTGAAAATTCGATATCGATAAAATATATATAAAGAATGGAATGAAAATAATGTTATTATAAATGTTTGTTAATTTATAATAAATAATACTTACAACGTGTACTAATTTTAAAGTTGATTCTGTATTGGCAAAATTAGATATAGCAAGAGAAAATGAAAAAAAGAAAATAAACAAAGTTTTCATTTTTTCATCTGATTAATTAAGCCTCGTATGATCGTTTAAAGAAATCGCGTTTTTATATTATTTTTTTTATCATCTTTATCATGTTATTCAATGCGATTGGTGTAATTAAAGCATTTTGTCTCTTATTTCTGGACAATTTACAACGGTGTAACAGTAATTTAGATTAAGTGTATTAATAAATCTTTTGTTATTATTTTTTATTGCTAACAAAGAAATGATTTTATTTCTAAATCAAGTAAACACTAAGCTTTAAGGGATTAAGTCGGTGTTGTTAAATTTATTATATTTTCAAAAACATAATAAATTTAACAGTAATAACTTAAATGTATGTTCCGCGTATTGCAGTGCTGTAAAACGGTGTGAAACGGTAAAAATATGACAATATTTATGTATATTATGTGTAAAGCAGACTGGACCACTGGAAAAGCTTACTAGGTGTTATACAATTATTGTGTTATGCATAATATAAAAAAAAATATTTTCAAAAACAACACAACAGCTTTTTATTATTCTATAGAACAATAAAAATTCTTTCAATAATGAATATATTCATTATTGAAAGAATTTGGTTTATTTATGAGGGTGCCATTACTTTCTCCCCAAGTTTAATGATCCCCAGTTTTAAAGTTAAGACCACCTGAGTACTCAAGAAGGTTGTACTATCAAAAGCCTTTTCTATATTGATAAATACTCCTAAGCTTAACTTCTTATAACCCAAAGTCGCATTAACAAAACTGTCCATTGAGTAAAGACCATTTTTGTTAAATCATCAATTTACTTTTTTTGTATATCCAGGACACCTAGTTGTTAGGATTTATTATTATTATTTTTCATAAAAAAAATTATATAAAAAAAATATCTCAAAAAGAGTAAAGAATTACAACACTACATATTTGAGTTCCAACTTTTTGGCAATTCTTTATCTTTCTAGGAACCAACCAAATTCGTACTTCCTCTTACCATCATAGTATTTTGAAGAGATTTCATAGAACTCTCAAAATAGGCCTTACTGCCCGGGGAGATGGCAATAGATGAAATAATGATCCTCCCAACAGCCCATCATAATTTCCCCTTTCTGCTTTTACCCTATAATATAGGTTGCATTGAAACGTCGTTATTAAGTCAGTGTCTCCAAAAGCATTACTTGTAACATACGTTATTGAGGTTTTGAGAGCTCAATTGAACTCCTTAAAGCTATCCCGCCTCTTCTTCATCGCTCTTCTACCCCTTCTTCGAAATTTTTGAACCTGTTTACATATGTATGCCTATATGGCAAATACGTGGTCTGACAGGCTAGAGTTCAAAGTGATCGTTCAGGAGTACATTTTACACTTTTATCCTATACTTGAAATGTGTAGGAACTTTCAGTAAATTGTGGTTCAATGCCGTACCCTTTACAAGTAGAAATAACGGTAGGTACAGCGGATCGTTAATTCCAAATATATCGTTATAACGAATACCTTTTTATGAACCGGTTTAATCTGATTGGGTTTGTACCATCTCCTCCTGGGCTCAGAGGAGTAGCGGGAGTCAATGGAAAGGGAGGAGGTGACACAGAAGATAATGGCGGAATATCGATTGGTTTGAAGATATGGTGGAGAAAAAGGGACGAGAAGACGGATAAAAAATCCATTATGTGTCATCAAGTGCCTTTAGAAGAACCGACTCGAATGTCAAGCAGAGGATAAGGAGTCCATCGTAAGGCAGTTATTTTATGTACAAGTTCTAAAAAGATATTGGAAGCTTTGCTGAATACTGCAACGAAGTGATAGAGAAGTTGGGTAAAATTGTTGATTCTAGACTTCAAGAAATATCTGAAGAAACGATAATTAAAATGGCAGTGAAGGTAGCTGTATGCAAAGTGTTTTTGAAAGAAAAAAGGATGCGGGATGTAGTGTTTATGACGTCAACGTCGCGACAGGCGGGCGCGAGAACCAGGCCTCTTAAAAATGAACAGGTTAAAACACGTTCAAGGGAGAGTTGCTACACAACCTTTACAACCGTTACAGTGAACGGATGCACACTGAAATATTATACCAAATAGATTGTTATTTTCTTTTAAAACATAAATTGTTAATAGAGTGATTAAACCATAACATAACAGTGTTTAATGTAAACCCACAATACCACACGGGAGAAGAAAGTAACAGCCCAGTTAGGGAAAAAGATGAAATGGGCAGTAGGATAAAGCACCTCAACCATGGACGCACCTCAATGCGTCCATGGTTGAGAAAAGGGAAAAAACGAAGAAGGATGACATTCAGAACATAGTTATGAACATGCTTCTGTAAAGAATTCAGGAAATAGTTGAATGTGATGCTACGCACAAAAAGATAGGGTTATAAAGTGATATTTTAAGTATCAAGCGTTCGAATATATATAGAAGTTCTGCAGACACGATGTGCTATGCAGTTGAGAACGGCTATGTTGAATGTGTTCGATTTACCGAAAGGATGTTTTGATGGATGAGAGAAAAAGGGAATATAGTGATTGGATAGTGACTCTCTTAGTTCACTACACCCTCTCAGCATGTGTTCCAGCGTCTCCCAATCCTCTCCACACAATCTACACCACCTCTTCACATCGTCCGTCCAGTACTTATTCCCTCTCTCCTCATTGCCACAGCGGAATCTGGCCACCAATTTCTTCCTTTCATCACCCCCATCCATCAACAGATACTTGAGCAGTTCATCTGTCACTATCTCCCCATAACTTTCATTACATCTCCCTTTCCGTATCTGTGACCTTCTTTCCTGCCTCTGTATGTCCTTGTCCCTATCTGTCCGTTCTCTCCACTCTTCTGTTTTCCATCCCAGTCGGCGAATATCCCACTCTCCTATAATATCATTCCCTACCTTCCTGCCCATATATCAATCTCCTCTCCTTGATTTCCCTCCAACACTCTCGCAGGATCCTGCAATACAGTCTTCCTTCTATCCTCTCCTCGTACTTCACTGCTTTTCTCCCAGCCTCCACCCTTACTGCATCCACCTTAACCTCCTCCCTCACTACATACCCTGGAGTCTCCGTCGCCCAGCCTAGTACCCATTTCCAATACCTTGTTTGTACATCCTCCAGCAATCCTTGTTCTCTCCATCCCCATACTTCTGCGCCGTACATCATTGCGTTCCTTACCAAGTCCTTAAACATAACCTTTCTTTTTCCCACATCCCTCCCAAAAGTTCTCTCCCCCCATCTTCAAACCTGCCCATCACCCTGTGCTCTTTTTGTCATCGCCCTTACGTGCGACACAATCTTATTACACTCTGAGAATCCATATCCCAAGTAAGTATTCTCTTTCACTTCCTCTATCTCTCTTCGCTGCCACATCCATTCTTTCCTCTTTCTTCTCCCTGTTTGCAGAACTTCACCATTTCGTCTTCTCGACGTTTACCTTATCATCTCCACCGCCTCTCGCCACGACTACCAAGCCATTTACGTACCCCAGCGCGTGTACCTTCGTTCGTTCCATCACCACCTCTTCTAAGTCTCTCGTCAAAGTCCGCCGTATACATCGCAAATAGTGTCGTCCAGAATATCTCGCTTAACACTTAACCCCCACTTTAACCTTCGCTATCGTGTCCATGTACGTCTCCTTTGCTCTCTCTATCAGCTGTTCTGTGACACCTACCCTCCTCATTTCCTCTCACATCTTCCCTCTATCCACTTTATGAAATGCCTATGAAATCGCCTTCAGATTTATGAATGATGCATACAACTTTCCTCCTTTCTTGTTCAACTTCCTATCTGTCAGGCGATGTCTGTATACATTGTCAACCGCTACTTTTCTCTTCATGATATGTTGGCGTCTGCCGATCCGCCAAATTTCCCTCTTCTCCATTTCCTCTTGCAATCTCCTCAGCAGTACCATTGCATATATTTTAACCGTCGTATCCAACAGGGTGATCCCTCTATAATTGTCCAACGCCCCTTTACTCCCTTTTTTATGCAGTATATTATTCCCATCCTCCACCTGTCCGAAAACTCCTTCCCTCTCCATACGTCCTTTATTGACTTAAGTATTAAATGCTTTAACTGATGCAAGATTTTCGCTAAATTTGGACAAATAACCATACTTTCTGAGTGGGATTATCTTTCACTTCCAAGGATTTGGTGAAGTAGTTAAATTTTTTATTTTATCCATTAAATACTTTAGGGAAGACTGCCTTCCAAGACTCTTATGGCCCCAGCAAGATTCAAATTAGCATTCATCAAAACAGGTAATTTATGAGGATTATTCAAAGTTTGAGGAGTAATCGTTTTTAAACAACAAGATATTGCATCTACGGCTAAATTTGGTTTAAAATGTTTAATCAGTGTTATTTCTTCATCTATTGAACTATACATAAAATAAATTTAATGAAAATAAAGTGATGTTATGTTTATTTACAGTATAACAAGAATTAAAGACGTTGTTTAAATAATAATACATATAAATATATTTATTTCATTAAATACATCCAATTGAATATAAAATAATCCATCTAAACTGACAAATATAAACAATCAATAAAATAATATAACCTCACACTTTTTTATTTCTTAATCCTACCCCTTTTTCTCATTTTCCAAAGCAAGAATCTCCTTTTTAACATTTTGTAAATCAACATTAACCCTTTCCAAACTGACCCCGGTTGATTTCATCACTTCCGAATCGATTTGTTCTTGTAAATTCCTCGATTCACGTTCTGTTAGACCTAATTCAGTGATCGCTTGAATTATTGCCCCACAATCGCTATGCAAAGTTGCCAAGAGTTTATATGCACTTCTAGACATTTCATCATGAATTGCATTCTAAAATTAAATTATTTCAAATATTTTAATTAATTGAATTGAATTAATAGACAAACCCGAAAAATAAGTTCATCAGAAAGTGTAAAAGATCGATCTAATTGGCCGTTTAAGTTATTAATTTCCTTTTGAACCTGTTTAGTATCATCCAAAATTTTATCAATTTCTTTATTTTGTTTGTTGATGTTCCCAATTATTTCCAAAATTCGTTTTGTGTAAGCCGATCTTCCCGTATTCTTTCCAATTCGCTCGCATTCCTCTTTTAAACCTTTCTCCATTTTTTCTTTACTTTTTATGTCGTTGCTTAATTGTTGATTTTTAACGCGAATTTCTTTGATTTTCGTACGCTTTTCTTGGATCTTTATCTAAAATTAAAAAAAAATTATTAAATGAAATTAAATTTAATTAGTTGTTCAACCTATGCAATGTTAGCTCCCATTTTTCTAGTTAGCTCCCCAATTAGATAGGATAATATTTTGATTATAACAAGAGAACCACTCAACCGATTTCGATAAATAAAAATCTGATTTGAAAGCTTAATAAGAAATTTTGCTGAAAGCAAAAGGTGTCAAGGTTGGAGCCACACCATAGTTTACTGCCAGAAAAATCAGGGATATGTTAAATGCGCTGGTGAACACTGGACCAGCGAATGCACTAAAGCCAAAGAAATCCCGACTAAATGTTTCAACTGTGGAGAAAATCATCCAGCGAACTACCGAGGATGCATTATGATTAAGGAACTACAAGCCATCAGGAATAAGAAAACAGTAAATTCAAATACAAGAAAGCTATGGTGAAAAAGCGAGTAGTGAAACTGCAGAAAAAACTGCAAGTACATTAATCGATAAAAAGGCTGACAGTAAATTAGATCTAATACTAGAAAAAATACTTCAATAAGAAAAAACAATAAAAATATTATATGCACGTCTAAATTTCATTGAAAGCAACTTAAACCAAGGAGCGATTCAAAATGTCTAAAAAAGAGCAACTAAAAATAATGCTGTGAAATTCAAAGGGTCTACTACAGCATCAAAATACACTACCAATAATACTTAAAGAAAATAATATTGATATATGTGTTATCTCCGAAACTCACTTTACACGAGAATCGTATCTGCGGCTCGAGGTAGAAGTGCAATTATCATTAAAAGTAATATTGACTACTATTTGAACAATACAATTAGTACTGAACCACATCAAACTACAGTGGTATAGATTAAACTAGTAATGGCTTAATATCTAAGAGAACTGAAACATGCAATAGAGTTGGCCAACAGATAGAAGCAAAACTCCGGACCGTCGTAAACAAAGAAGAAGAGTTAGGGCTGGACTCAGATCACTCAGCAGTAAATTATTACTCTAAATAACAAAGCACATATATAACAAAGAACCCTTTTTATCACTAACTAATAAAACTAGACAAAATTACAAACTAGACCAAATACTACCACCCACACACGAAAACACTTACTCACCACTACATGAAATACAAACCGGTGTTCCTCAAATAAGTGTACTTGGCCCAACACTGTACTTACTCTACACATTCGACCTTCCTCAGACAACAGAAACTTTAACAGCTACATTCGCAGATGACACAGCGATCTTGGCTGTTGCAGAAAATGAAGTAGTTGGAGCAAATAAGTTACAATTGGCCTTAAATTCAATAGAAAACTGGACCAAACGATGGCTAATAAAATTAAATACAAATAAATCGACATACATAAACATTACTTATAAAAAAGTAAACTACGTCCTGGTACACTTAAATGGCACTGCAGTCCCTTACGCCGACACCGAAAAATATCTTGGTATGACGTTGGATGCCAAACACAAATGGAAAGATCACGTCAAAAAAAATGTGAAGAACTTGATATCAAATTTAGACACCTATATTGGCTTATTGGCAGAAAATCTACGTTATCACTAAGAAACAAGTTGCTAATATACAAGCAAGTATTAAAACGAAAATGGACATACGGAATCCAACTGTGGATTTGGACCTGCAAGTCAAATGCAAGTCTGATTCAAAGATTCCAAAACAAAGTACTAAGGTGCATAGTGAATGCACCTTGGTATATAAGAAACAGCGACCTCCATTGCGACTTGAAAGTAGCATCGGTGTCATCAGAAATTGCATCATTCGCATTTAAACATGAGACGAGAACGCACGAACATCCCAACATCGAGGCCATCCAGCTTCTCGGCAACGAGGATATTCTGCGTCGCCTGCAGAACACGAGCAATAATGCGGAATTATAACAAAAACAGTAGGTAATAACTGAAATGTGTGTTCCGCGTATCGGTGTTTTGATCTTAAAACTCTAAAAATATGATAATATTTATCTATATTATGTGTAAAGCAGTCTCGACCACTGGGAAAGGCTGCAAAACATTATTTCGTTTAATTTTGTTATACAATATTGTGTTCTACAATTGTGCTATGCATACTATAAAAAAAAATGAATTATGTATCATACTTTCGATTGTGACGTTGATGACTAAAATTGGTCAAGTAATTAAGGAGATAATTTATTGATGTGTTTGATTAATTGGTTTTTTGTGTTTTAATCGGAATCCTTAAATATTTTGAATCGTGCGGTTCGATATACGCATTCAGCCAGACGCACAGTGGTTTAACCTGCTATATTAGCTGGATAAAATGCACAAAGGGTTTTCTTATTAAGTGGTTTGTAACAATTGCAAACTACTTTCTAATGTCTCCATAAATTGACAATTGACAGGAATCTGCCCGTTTGTTCGGGGTTTTTTGGCAATCGCATGTAGGAAAGGATCTACAGCAGCCTCTTAAATCGTTACATTTATCAGCCCTGTTTTTTTGAAACAGCGTCTAGCAATTGCAGTTCTGTTTCTAAAATTTCATCTAAAGGTATGTAAAGTGTCTTGCAGTTAGTACATGTGCTTTTTTAAAATATTATTACGACGTCATTAAGAAACGAATGATGTAATGTAAATTTTACCATAATTGTCCGACTTTAGTCAAGCTAATATAAAATTCTCCGTTTGCATCCAACTTTTTCTAAAAATGGTTGGTTAAATCAACAACGAACTCACTCGAAGAGCTATGTTCGACGCGTGGCGATGTGAAGCAAATGTTTCCAATAGAAACTACAGTGTCTACAGTTATATAACAGACAAATTAAGACTAGAAAACTGCGATCATCACGTAACCGGATGTGTGAAAAAAGTGACTGAAGATTTTTGTGTGCATTTAAAAGACCGCTGGTAAAAATGTCATCATATACTAAAAAACCTTTTAACAAGAAAGGCCAAATGGTTCGACGGCATAGTTTAATTTCTTGGAATTGTTTTAAACGCGGCTTCAATAAACAGGCTCTTCTCGTGATGTTTCATCGCCAAAGGCACATTTGGGTCGTCCAAACAAGTTTTCGAAGAAGTAAGTGACAAAACAAATTAAAGACGTTTACTACCTGTAGTGGCACAATTAACTTCTGCAGAGCTGGTTTACGCAGCCCAGATTAGTCTACGCTCAAAACCGAAATTGTGGAACAAATTGAAATTTCTCCAATGAGAGCGACAAGAACTAAGAAAGCATATAAAAGTCCTGACAAACCTGTACCAATAACATTAAGAGGCGACAAAGCCTTAGCACTATATGTGGATGTGAAATTAACAAAAAAACAATACTTGTTAATTTGTAACCAAGCAAAACTACAAAACGCGAATATCTACCCTTCTTATCACAAGCTTTTAAAAGCAAAGAAGGGGTGTTATCCGGATGGTATAGCTGTCACGGAGATTACTGCCGAAGTAAAGCTTCAAGCTTTGTTTGATCACAGTATTCAACGTTTAGTTGGCAGTATCAGTGATATTTTAAAAAAATATAGATACAAACATAGATGGCGCATCAGGACAAAGTGGAAACAGAAATAAAAGGTCTTTCTCCGACCCATATTACAAATGAAGGCAAAGACATATTTGTGGATCACAAAATGGTGATGACGAAAAGGTCTGCAGTGTTATTGCACAAGAGTCATTTCAAGTGTTATATCTATGGTGCAACACCTAAAGAAATGAATAACTTGGCTAGACTCGCATCAACGCCTGTTGATGAAGGGCCATTCATTTTTGGGTTATCAAGTCACCCCGCGTGAATAAGATGCTTCGAATATCTGCTGCACATTACTTACAGATTTGAAGTTCAACCCTGACAAGTGAGAAAAAAGGCCCGGAAAATGTGGACAAGAAAAAGATTAATTCAAGATCGCTTTCGCAAGGAAATGATGGAATAAGTAATGATGGCAACACTGCTCGAAGATATTTTTCTAATCCATCGCTATCCAGTGCGATCACAGGAGTGAATGAGATACTATGAGATATAATTAGAAGTGGATACGAAATAAATTTGGAAACATTTGAAGAATATGCCATAGACACTGCTAAATTGTATATTCAATTATATAATTAGTATTACATGCCGGCAAGTGTTCATAAACTGTTAATTCATGAAATGGACATTGTTAAATATTCTCTTCTGCCTATTGGACAGCTTTCTTAGGTTGCGCGCAGCAAGGATTGTCGAAGGTCTCGGAGGGATCCCGCTAGAAAAACGTTCAGAAACATCAACACCAAGGATCTGTTCAATATGTTATTAGTTTCGCCAGATCCGCTAATTACAAACTGCAGAAGTCTCGGTCCTAAGAAAATAGAGATTATTACCGATGAAGTAATTTCATTATTAAAAAAGTTATCTCAAGAGCAGGAATCTATCACTGCAGAGGAGGGATCGAACGTAAGCTTTCGTTTGAGATATAAAACATTAAAATCCGTTAAAAACTGTTCTTCAGTTATACATAGTAATTTTTTCCTAATTGGGGCCTAAACTTTCGGGCGTCTATACGTGCATAAATAACAAGCCGAACACAGTGTCATTCCGAGGGCTGTACAAGGTTAAATGGACAGAATTGAGATCAGGCATTTTGTAATTTTCATAGAAGAAACTATGACGAATCGAATAATGTATAGATTTTCATAATCGAGTACATCGTTTACGAGTTATGACCACTTAAAAATGGTAATTTTTGTGTTATTTTCGGGTAAATTTGAAAGAGATTTCGAATCAAGAATTAAGCTTTCAAATGAGATATTGTTTATCAAAATCGGTCGAGTCTAATCCTATCTAATTGGGGGCTAGAAAAATGGGGATTAACTTCACATAGGTAATTCTTTACATGTGGCTGAAGTTAGATTCATATACGAATCTGTATCAGATTCAGATTCATAAAATTACAGTTGACCAGACAAGTATTGAACATATCAATTGAAAAATCGTTTTCTAAAACTACAGAAGTTGTAGCAATCTGCGACTACACTGGATAATTCGAATAGACCCTCTAGTATGTTCCCTATCTACCCTCATCCCAAGATTTGCTGTAGGAGCTGAGGGGTGAATTTTTTAATATTCCTCGTTTTCGATACCATACCTAAGTATGGGATAGACTGGGACTAGTCTAAATTATTGCATTAGGTCCTCTGGTATCCTTCTAGCCCATCAGCAACCGCAGATTAGTCGTAGGGGCCGAAGGGTGAATTTTTTAATATACCTCGTTTTCAATAGCAAAATTAAAAATTAAACAGTCTACCCTCACCCCCAGATTTACATAGAGGCAGACTGATGAATATTTGAATACTCATCGATTTTAATAGCAAAGTTAAAAATTATTTCTTCAACAACTAAGGACTGCAGCACCCTGTGAGTAATCTAGATTATTGCATTAGGTACTCTGGTATCCTTCTAGACCATCAGCACCCCCAGATTTGCCGTAGGGGCCGAAGGGTGAATTTTTTAATATTCCTCGTTTTCAATATCAAATTTAAACTTTATTTTCTGAATAACTACAGACTGCAGCATCCTGGCACTAGTTTAGATTATTGCATTAGGTTCTCTGGTATCCTTCTAGCTCACCAGCACCCCCAGATTTGCCGTAGAGGCCGATGGATGAATTTTTTAATATTCCTCGTTTTCAATATCAAATGGGAACATTAATTTCTCAATAGCTAGACACTGCAGCACCCTGGTACTAGTCTAGATTATTGCATTAGAGCCTCTGGTATCCTTCTAGCCCACCAGCACCCCCAGATTTGCCGTAGGGGCCGAGGGGAGAATTTTTTAATATTCCCCGTTTTCAAGAGCAAATTTAAACATTATTTTCTCAATAACTAGAGACTGCAGCATTCCGGGACTAGTTTAGATTATTGCATTAGGTCCTCTGGTCCTCTTGAAAGCAATAAAAATAAATCAAAATTTACAAAACACCCAAATTTTTTTGATTGGAATATACAAGTACCGTAACACCACTATTAAATTAATGAGCGACGATTTTTTACTGCTACATTCAAGTAAAAATTCTACAATAGTTAATTCAAAAACATTAACAGATAAGTGGTTGTCAGACTAATGCATCGATGCATTTGCGCTTTCATATTTAAAAAAAATGACTAATAGATAATAAAGATTAGATTTAGATTCTCTCAGTGCAATTTATGTTTTCCGGAAACGATTGCGTAAATTTAAAAGTATTCGTGGAAAATGTAAATAATTATAAGTACGTATTTATTCCATATAACGTAAACTCTATTTACTAATTATAGTTTACGGATATTAATAGTTTTAAGTATGTCAGAAAAATTAATTTATTTACTCGATTCCGGTCAAACAAATACGGACAATAATATATTTAACAAAATTAAAAAGTTTTTCCAAAGGTGTAATAAAACAAAAAGTCGTAATGAACAAATAAATATTAAAGGTTGGAAAATGGCTAAAGACCACAAATAGCCTAAACAAACAGATAGCACAAATTGTGGAATATTTGTTATATATTTTATGAACGTTATAGGAGAACGTGGTAATATTAATGATCTTTTTTATGTAAATAAACAATTGGATACAGAGGAATACCGGTTTAGGCTACAAACGTACTTGTTGGAAAATTCTGAAAATATTAAAAAGTACTGCCCTAGGTGTGGTCTCTATAACGAATCGCAATACATTTGTTGCAATCAATGTCAACGGTGGTATCATTTTAAAAATTGTGCCAATATTCCACCAAACATGTCTTTTGAACAAGCGTCTCCCGTTACCTTCATATTTACCTGCAATCTTTTTCAATTTAAATGCTTTAATGGTTCTCAAAATTTAGAAAAGTGTCGTTCAAGTTTCATTAATAAAGAAGTAAACGCCATATGAAAATTATAATTTCAAATCAAACTAAATATTGAATAAATTTTAAATATAATAATCTAAACCAGTCCTAGGGCGCTGTAGACTTTAGTTCTTCAGAAAATAATTTTGCTATTGAAAACGAGGTATATTAAAAAATTCACCCTTCGGCCCCTACGACTAATCTGCGGTTGCTGATGGGCTAGAAGGATAGCAGAGGACCTAATGCAATAATTTAGACTAGTCCCAGTCTATCCCATACTTAGGTATGGTATCGAAAACGAGGAATATTAAAAAATTCACCCCTCGGCCCCTACAGCAAATCTTGGGATGAGGGTAGATAGGGAACATACTAGAGGGTCTATTCAAATTATCCAGGGTAGTCGCAGATTGCTACAACTTCTGTACCCTGTCGCAGGGTGCTGCAGTCTCTAGTTATTGTGAAAATAAGGTTTAAATTTGCTCTTGAAAACGAGGAATATTAAAAAATTCACCCTTCGGCCCCTACGGCAAATCTGGGGCTGCTGATGGGTAGAAGGATACCAGAGGACCTAATGCAATAATCTAGACTAGTCCCAGGGTGCTACAGTCTCTATTTATTGAGAAAATAATGTTTAAATTTGCTCTTGAAAACGAGGAATATTAAAAAATTCACCCTTCGGCAAATCTGGGGCTGCTGATGGGCTAGAAGGATACCAGAGGACCTAATGCAATAATCTAGACTAGTCCCAGGGTGCTACAGTCTCTATTTATTGAGAAAATAATGTTTAAATTTGCTCTTGAAAACGAGGAATATTAAAAAATTCACCCTTCGGCCCCTACGGCAAATCTGGGGGTGCTGATGGGCTAGGATACCAGAGGACCTAATGCAATAATCTAGACTCGTCCTAGGGTGCTGCAGTCTCTAGTTATTGAGAAAATAATGTTTAAATTTGCTCTTGAAAACGAGAAATATTAAAAAATTCACCCTTCGGCCCTTACGGCAAATCTGGGGGTGCTGACGGTCTAGAAGGATACCAGAGGACCTAATGCAATAATCTAGACTAGTCCCAGGGTGCTGCAGTCTCTATTTATTGAGAAAATAATGTTTAAATTTGCTCTTGAAAACATAAAATATTAAAAAATTCACCCCTCGACCCTACGGAAAATCTGGGGGTGCTGATGGGCTAGAAGGATACCAGAGGACCTAATGCAATAATCTAGACTAGTCCCAGGGTGCTGCAGTCTCTAGTTATTGAGAAAGTAATGTTTAAATTTGCTCTTGAAAATCTGAGATATAGAGAAATATTAAAAAATTCACCCTTCGGCCTCTACGGCAAATCTGGGGGTGCTGATGGGCTAGAAGGATACCAGAGGACCTAATGCAATAATCTAGAGTAGTCCCAGGGTGCTGCAGTTTCTAGTTATTGAGAAAATCAGGGTTAAATTTGATATTGAAAACGAGGAATACTAAAAAAATTCACCCTTCGGCCCCTACGGCAAATCTGGGGGTGCTGATGGGCTAGAAGGATACCAGAGGACCTAATGCAATAATTTAGACTAGTCCCAGTCTATCCCATACTTAGGTATGGTATTGAAAACGAGGAATATTAAAAAATTCACCACTTGGCCCCTACAGCAAATCTTGGGGTGAGGGTAGATAGGGAACATACTAGAGGGTCTATTCGAATTATCCAGGGTAGTCACAGATGGGTACAACTTCTGTAGTTTCAGAAAACGATTTTTCAATTGATAAGTTCAATACTTGTCTGGTCAACTGTAATTTTATGAATCTGAATCTGGTACAGATTCGAATATGAATCTAACTTCAGCCACATATAATATTCTTTACATCTTTGTGATTACTATTTTCTTGCAACTCTTCATATTCTCGCAATAAAGGTGTTTGAACCTCATTCCATTGTTGTTTTAGCGTTTCTAATTTATTGTTTCCATTTTGTACCAAATTCTTTAATTTTAATAAGTTTTCTTCATCCGAAAGTACCGCTAACGTTTTTGATTTTATTTTATATTGCGAGATGTGTTCTTTTAGGATCGATTCTTCTTTATTTTTTTTATCTAAAATCTATCGGGAATTATTAAATATTTTAGTTAATTAAAACGTAATAAAAAACATTACTTCTTTTAATTTGATTCTATTTAATTTAACTTCATCTTGTAATCTTTGAATTTTTAATTTTTCATCTTCTATGATCAATAAGTTTTGGCTTTCATTATTAATATTTTCTTTCCCAACACATTCTTCTTGACTCACTTTATTAAAATTAACCTTCTTAACACATCCATCATCCACTACATCTTTATTTATACACATTTCATTTTCACTTTGCATTGTTACAGATTTCAAATCGCAATCATTAAACAATAAGGATGCAATTAAATTCCTTTCAGTGCATTGCTTTGTAACATCTAACATGTTATGCACCCAATATTGTTTGAGATTTTCATTAACACTTTTACAACATTGAGGTACTTTAATCACCTCACTTTTTAGTGGGTAAACATTCATATAACTTTGTTGGAAATAAATATTTCCACATTTTCTAACACCACTAATTAATAAATTTGATGGAACCCAAGGTTTACTCAAACACAATCTCACGTTTTCATTTATTTTTCTCTTTAATTGTTGAGTTATACCAAGTTGTTGTAATGGTAAACTGTCATCGTTTTCTCGAGGTAATCGCTCAATTAGAAACATTAAAACTCTCCTTAATTCAATTTCATTGCAATAGAGGATTGTTTGATATCCAATATCACCTCGAAATCCCAAATCTCTTATTGCTTCAGCCAGATTTGTAGCAAGATTTAAACGACCACTCATTGAAGCAGGTAATTTATGAGGATGTTTTATTTGAGGAGTAATCATCTCTAAACAGCAAGATACAGCGTCTACGACTAGATTTGGTTCGAAATGTTTAATCGCTGTTATTTCCTCATCTATCGAACTGTACATAAAATAAATTTAATAAAAATAAAGTGAGGTTATGTTTATTTACCCACCAATTAATGTTTTTTAAAGATTCTATTATTATATTGTCAACTTCCTCCATATTTATGGTTTTTTAATGATAAAATACGAAAATAAAATTAAAGTCAACGGTTTAATGGAATGTTTTTTTGATAAATCGGGCTGATTGAAAAATTTTAAGGTTAAGTCAGCTGTCAACGCTGTCAACTAAAAAGAGTGATTTTATTTAATAAATAATTAGATTAATAATTAAAAATTAGAATAATATAGCAATAAAAATTTGCATTATTTAATATAAATTGAGTAAATAATTTTAAATAAATTTATTTATTAATTTGAATGAAATAAAACTAAGTGAATCGAACATTCCTTATTTTATTGACAGCACGTTGAAATTTGAAGTTTCCGAACATAACCTCACATAACCTCAAAAAATCGAAATAAAATGGGACGTTCTGATTTAAAAACTAATTTATCCGATTTCACCTCAACAGAGACAGAAACGAGTAGTGACGAATCGATTTCTAATAATAAAGAAAAGAAATTTAAATGTACTCACGCCGGATGTTTAGCAGCGTTCTCAAAAAATCGTAAATTAATTAATCACATCCGATTACACACCGGAGAGGTATATTAACGTAACTATTTAAAACAACACACTTATATGAGTAATTTCAGCGTCCATTTCAATGTAGTAATTGCACTAAAGCATACACAAACTCTTCCCATTTGAGGAGACATCAAAAAATCAAACATGAAAATGGAACAGAAAGATTAACATGTCCTTTCGATGATTGTAATCGAGAAATTGCGAATAAATGGGGGCTTAAGAAGCATATTCAAAGATGTCATGATCCTAAACGAGTTTATCCCTTTAATTGCAAACAATGTTCTCAAGGATTTTTAAGAAAACGGCATTTACAACAACACTCTTATGTTCATACAGGAGAATTGCCTTTTAAATGTGATCAATGTGACAAAGGATTTGTTACGGTTAGGGATTGCAATCGACATAAAAGGGTACACTTAAATACGTACACTTGTGAATGCGGAGATGTTCTCGATAAATGGAGTTTGTTTTTGGAGCATAGAAGAGAATGTCAACGAAAAAGTAAGTTATTATTAAGAATTGAGTTAATAAAGTTTGTTAATAAGTTTTAGAAAAATTCAAGAATCATCATGTGGCTTAAAAATTGATGATTTTTTTAATCAATGTGAAATGACTCAAAAAACATGTTTAAAATAAAAATAAAGTGTTAAAAAGTGTAGAACATACCGAAAATCACATTAAGCTTTTAATAAGTTAATTAAAAACGGAAAAAATAAACCTCATAGTTTCAAATTTCTGGAAATTTGAAAATTTGACGAAAAAACTCATTCCAAAATCGGAAAAATTTAATCAAGAAAAAGTTCTTTTTTAAAGTTAACAAATTAATATGTAGGACATGCGCAATAAAAATGTAGTTACATATGTACGTCGCGAATATCCATTCTCATTTGTCCAATATACAGGTGTCCCACGTACGCAACAAAGTACAGATGGGCCAAATTGGGCACTTTTAAAGGAAAACTCCTATTTCTATAAGAGATACAGGAAAAACGATATCAGTGTCTAAGGCTCGATTTTTATAAGAAATTTAATGGCGAAAACAGCATATCGATATCTCTTACGGTTTCAGAGATACAGACTGTTTTTCAAAAAAGTGCATTTTCGAAGTCGTCATAATTTTTTTCTTATTAATAAATCTTCCCTTCTGTGAAAACATTTCCAAAGCAACTTTTTAGGTAGAATTCGATGGAATAAGTTAGCTTTCCCTCAAAGCAATATTTTAACAGTTATTGACATAAAAATGATTTTTTTAAATGGATCATCCTATATATTTTTGCTAATTCGATGAAAGCATAAAATTTCCTTTCCAAAAATATAGCACACTTGATATTTCGTTCAAGTCTTTTTTGAAATATACAACTTTAAAACTTATATGTGCGGATTTTGAAAAAGTAGGCTTTGGAAATAAAAGAAAAACGAGATTATATTTATAAGTAATATCAACATAGTTGGTTACAATGAATTAAAACATAAACTCATAAACAAAGAGCAGATTAAATTAATAAAACTTACCTTATTATAAAACAAGAACAAATATACAGGGTGTCTTAACAAGACCGGTCATTAGACGTTTCTGGGGTTCTGCCAAAATAAAAATTTGAGAATTCAGACTTAAGTATTATCAATTGCGTTCTCTTCGACTAAAATATTTTCAGATTTCTAGCACTTCCGGTTATACCGGAAGTCGCCACCTACTTTATTTTTCTAAATGGAATAGCCTGTATATTTTTACATATCTGGATTTGTCTGTTTTGAAGGTTTATAAATAACTTTACTTTTTGCAATTTGATTCGGTCGTTCTCGAGTTATTCGAATTTTTCTAGAAAAATCTGCTCCAGCAGACATTTGTTCAAAAAATTAGAAAACACTCAATTTTTGGGATATCAATTTAGGATTGAGAACATGCTTAAGCAACATGATGGAGTATGTTTTGGCGCCGAGAACGGTTGTCTAGAACGTTTGGTCACTTTACTATGGCACGTTAACTTTTCGAAATTTGGAACTACCATAACTTCATTTTTTTAAATGGCACACCCCATATTTTATTACTTGGTCGTCTTCGGTGTCTCATTCTACATCTTTTATATCCGATATATTCCATACCTAACATTAATAGTTTGGGAGATAATTAGCGTTTTTTGAAAAATGCACACATATCATATATGATAGTCATATATGTAGATATTTAGCCTAGTGTGCCATGGAAAACAAGCCTTCTCAATGAGTTCTTGTCAAAGACTCACTTGTGTACGTCACTTGATACATGTGAGCTATGCATGTGAGCTAATAATTATCTATTAGGTCCCTTAATATTAGTACTAAAAAGAGTTAATCGATAACAATAAGAAAATAATATTTACACAAGTCAAGAAATTCTTAATTTATTTTTTATACATGAATTGAGGCGTTGGGACTGGGCTCGAAATAAGCCAGGGTATTCAGCTCTTCCGCTGTATTATCTACTACATTTTTTCGTCAGTTGATTAATTCGTCCAAAATGCAAAAAAAGGTAAAAAATTTACCTTTTGTCATCGGAGGTAAATGTGGATAGTTTTCATTAAACATTCTGCAAGTTCTACTAAGAACTTTGTCGCACTTTCCGTGCACAAAAAATAAATTAAGGATTTCTTCATTTGTATAAACATTATTTACGTTATTAATATCCATTTTAACTGGTTTTAGACTCACAAGCATCAAACAACGTAAATTAGACTTAGACGTTTGTCAATAAGTCATTAAACATTTGTTTTCCATGGCACGCTAGGTTAATATCGATATGATATGTTAGCATTTTTCAAAAAACCCTAATTATTTCCCAAACTGTTAAGGTTAGGCATAGGACATATGGAGTATAAAATATGTAGAATGAGACGCCGAAGACGACTAAGTAACATAAATATGGGGGTTGCCATTTAAAAAAATGAAGTTATGGTGCTTCAAAATTTCGAAAAGTTAACGTGCCATAGTAAAGTGACCAAACGATCTAGACAGCCGTTCTCGGCACCAAAACATACTCCATCATGTTGCTTAAGCATGTTCTAAATCCTAAATTGATATCAAATTGCAATAAGTAAAGTTATTCATAAGCCTTGAAAACAGACAAATCCAAACTTGTAAAAATATACAGGTGTTCCATTTAAACAAATAAAGTAGGTGGTGACTTCCGGTATAACTGTAAGTGTTAGAAATCTGAAAATATTTTAATCGAAGAAAACGCAATTGATAATACTTAAATCTGAATTTTCAAATTTTTATTTTGGCCAGAACTCCTGTAACGTCTAATGATATAATATATTTGACTAATATGTTTCCTATCCCTACCGCATCCAAACTACTATTATTTTTCGCCACTGCTATTCTAATTGGATTTTTTAACATTAATAGATTTTTAAATACCTGCCTATCATTGACTAAATCATCAGTGCAACCTGAATCTATATGGAATTTTAAATCCGTTCCACTTGCTTGCTTATTTGTATCCAATTCCTTCATAAAGCATACACTTGTATCAGGAACACTATAATCAGTTTTCCTTTTGTTGTTATTCTTTTCTTCATTATTGACATAATTACTTCTCGGTTGATTACCATAACCTTTTCCTCTTGAGTACCTTCCAGGTATTTGCCCACGGATATATCTGCCACGTTGATTTCTGAAGTATAAAATAAAGAAACTACCCCTTCCTTTATTATACCACCAATCCTTTTTAAAATGTCCCCGTTTACCACACTTGTAACATGATTTTATCAGTCATAAATGCCATCTGATTAGTGCCTGTACTGTTCTCAAAATTCCAATAACAGTTTTGATTTCACAAAATCATATTTTAATTCCTTAGATGATAAATTTTCAATAACTGTAGCAATTGTTGCAAACGATTTAGGTAATGCCAAATAAATTACATCTTCATCTAAAATTTCTTCAAATTCATTTATAAATTTATTCAGGCACTCACCTTCCTTCAATTTCATTGCCAACATTTTCTTCTTGAGAAACATTTGCCCAATGCTTTCCACATCTCATATGCTGTTTCTTTTTCTCGTAAATGTTCTAACTGGCTATCCGCTACACATTGCACTATCAGCGACTTAGCTTTGCTGTTTCATTCATCTTAGACTGATCAATTACAGTTTTTACCATTTGTAGAACCCCTTGCTAGAGTCTTGCTAGTCGATTGCATCATGTTTTATTTTTAAGGTTACGTAAATTTATTTGTTTAATTTAACGACTGTAGTCTGGGTCCATAACTTATTAATTGTTGGTTATTTAAAAGTCTTTTATCTTGTAATAATATATTTATTTCTTTTGATTGTTTTATACAACATTTAATAATTAGCTCTCTTATCAATAATATTCGTCGCATTATTTATTTTTTCAATCAACAACTACTGTCTTTTATTTTTTTTAATACTATCTACGTTCATAGATTTAATCATTCCATTTAATCAACAATCACCAAAAGCTGCGGTCAAAAAATTGGTGACAATTGCAGCATTGTGAGGCATGTTGAAAAAATACATTTCGCAGGTGCGCTAGAGGTAAATCATCAACAACAGGTTCGATCTGTTGCCTAAATATGTTTAAATATATTATTTGTGCTGTGTACCAGCACTACTCACATGCGCTTCATCTGTTCAAATACAATTTAAAGAAAAATTGCGTACTTCGTCACATTTTTCCAAGAGCCATTGGCAAAAATTCATGCGCCATTCAAGATCTCCTGGTCTGAGGTAATGGACTTTGCTAGTTCTGTATGGCTTAAATCAGAATTTTTTCAAAATCCGCCTAGCTTTGGTTCTTGGAATTCCTGTGGTTACACTTAATTGCCGCATTGATATCTGTGGGTTATTTTCCATTGCCCCTAACACTACTACTTCTAATTCCCCGTCTTCATTTGGTATATAAGTTTTTGATCTTTTCTTTTCGAATTGGCCGCTAGTTTGTTGATTATATCACAATCTTCTAAAAATATCGTTAAAAGGTTGCCGCCTCTCTAGGTATCGTTCATGATATAAATTTCCTGCAGTCTCTGCATTCTCCCCAGATTGTATAAAACATACTATCTATTAGATAATATAATTTCCTTTCCAAAAATATAGCACACCTGATGTGCTATATTTTTGGAAAGGAAATTTTATGCTCTCGTCGATTTTGCAAAAAAGAAAGATGATATATATGATATATAGGATTCCATTCAAAAAAATCATTTTTATGTCAATAACCACTAAAATATTGCTTTAAGGAAAGCAATAACTTATTCCATCAAATTCTACATAAAAAGTTGCTTCGGAAATGTTTTCACAGAAAGGAAGATTTATCAATAAGAAAAAAGTTATGACGACTTTTCAAAAATGCACTTTTTTGAAAAACACCTGTATCTCTGAAACTGTAAGAGATATCGAATGCGGTTTTCGCCATTAACTTTCTTATAAAAACCGAGCCTCAGACACTGATATCATTTTTCCTCTATCTCTTATAGAAAAAGGAGTTTCCCTTTAAAAGTGTCCAATTTGGCCCATCCTGTACAGGGTGTCCCAATTTCGTTGTCCGCATAGGCTATCTCCGAAACTAAAAGAGATAGAAAAAAAGTTGTTTACATGTCATGATCAAAGTTTTCAAATAATTAGGTAACGCACTTTTATGAAAACCATTAACCTTAGGTAACAGAATAGATACCAAAGACTGTTCGAATCATACCATCACAACAAAAAGTAAATTTCTAAGTATTCTAAATATTCTCTAAGTCGAATTTACTTTGTATTTTTGAGATGAGTTTTTGTATATGTTGTTGTGGAAATTTATTTTCACTAGCAATCTGTTGAATGACCTGAATTTCCCTTTCCAGTTCGTGTTGTTCAAGATTTGATGTAAAGGCCCTGTGTAAGTAAGGTCGAAATGCTGAGAATTTTTGGTTGTTATCATGATATGAGTCCATTGTAACCATTGTACTTGTTTGTGTAGGTTTTTTATACAGGGTGATTTATTAGCTCACCATCAAACTTTGACATATGATAGCTAATCCAATTACCAAAAAAAAAATGTTAATGAACATGTCCTATTTCAATTATTTACGAAATTATAACATTTTAAAGTTTTCTGCAGCGAATTTATTAATAGTCAGTAAAATCAAACATTCCACAAAAACAAAGTTGTCATTGTAATATGTGAGTTTGCTGTAAGGTTTAATTATTAAATACAAGAAGAAACTCAAAATGTACGTTTATAGCACTGAAGAGTATGCTGATATAATTTTCGTGTATGGTTTTTGCAATGGAAATGCTCGACAATCAGTACGAGAATATCAAGAAAGATCTCCACAGCGCCATTGACCGCATGTAGTTAATGTAGAGGGCGAAGAAGCTGTAATTAATGCTGTTATTAATAATCCTTCCATCAGCATGCGAAGAATAGCACAGAACATACATGAAAGTCAAAATTTTGCATGGCGCGTATTGAACCGCGAAGACTTTCATCCGTATCGTAAACAGAATGTTTAAACTCTACAGCCAGGAGATAATCAGCAACGGTTAACATTTTGTGAATGGTTATTGCAGCAATATGCCCAAAATAATGACCTCATTTCAAATGTTCTCTGGACAGATGAATCATGTTTTACACGAGATGGTATAAATAATTACCATAATGAAAATATCTGGACATTACAAAATCCGCATGCGATTAGACCAAGGAAATTTCAACAACGATTCAGCATCAACGTTTGGGATGGAATATTTAACAACAATTTACTAAGTTTGCATGTACTTGATGGACGTTTGAACGCTGTAAATTACAGATTTTCTTGTTGAACAATACACTTTTTGGTTTACTTGACGATATACCTCTTAATATAATTCAAAATATGTGGTACCAGCACAATGGTGCCCCACCTCATCGTGGATGAGTAGTTATCGAGTGGTTAAACCAATATTTTCCAAAGAAGTCGATTGGTAATAATGTTCCATTTGCTTGGCCACCTAGATAATCTTAATCTTAATCCATTGGATTTCTACTTATGGAGTCAAATGAAACAAATTGTGTATCAAGTGGAAATTAACATACGAGAACAGTTATTAAACAGAATACAAATGGCTGCTACTGAAATAGGAAATCAACCAGACATTTTAATTCGGCTGAAGAACCCTTTAATTCGTCGTTGTGAAGCATGTATTCTAGCAGAAAGAGGCTATTTTAAACAATATTTGTAAAATTTATGTGTTTTAAAAAAATGTAGCAGTTAATTATGATATAAAAATTAAAACTTTAAAGTGTTATAATTTCGCAAATAATTGAAATAGGACATATGTTCATTAACATTTTTTTTTGGTAATTCGATTAGTTATCATATGTCAAAGTTTGATGGTAATAATAAATCATCCTGTATATGTTAAACTTTATTTTATCATGACATCGTGTCTGTGTAATGTTCAGAAAGTTAATCCTATTGTCATTCTCTATTTCAACTGTGAAATTAATTTTGGGGTGTAGCATATTAATGTAGTTGTGGAGACTATCTATTTGATGTTCATTTTTAATAAATACTACGATATCGTCAACATATCTAATCCATATAACAATTTCTTCTCGGTGTGGGTTATTGTTGTTGATAATGTAATTATTTTCTAAATTGTTCATAAAAAGGTCAGCCATAATTCCACTCAGTGGGGAATATCTAATTGGCATATTATTTTTGTGTAGTTTTGGTAGGGCGTACAGTTTTGGTACTTGTGGGTTCATAGGTATTAGGTTGTTGCTGTCACTCATGAAGTCTTTTATTACTCTTATGTTTTCTTTAATCGTCTGTTTGGTCTTCTTGTGGAAATTAATGGTTGAATTTTTATTTATGTTCTCAAAATTATTTTCATTTAGGAACTCATCTGTCGTTTTTATGTATTGTTCTTTTTTCATTATAACCATTCCTGCATTTTTGTCTGCTGGAGTTACTATTAGACCATCATCTTTAATTTTCTGTTTTATGTTCTTGATAATCTTGTGCTCTTCTGCCTCTTTGTCTCTCTTCGCAGCTGTTATCGATTCTTTTTTCCTTTATTAGGATTAGTTGGATATCTTTGTTGATTATATTTTCTCTTTCATGTCCTTTTATTGTTGCTTGGATTTCCATTAACAGCATTGGTAGGTCCTTTTGGTTTCTTGGGGCATATGTTAGTCCCTTTTGTAATAGTTCTTCTTCTTTTTCATTAAATACTGTGGAAGTAGTGTTTGTCAGCATTGGATGAAACTTATGTGTTTCCGTCTGTTTTTCAACCTTTGTTTTAAACAATTGAATCGCCTCCTTAGTTTTTTTGATTATAAAAGTAGTGTTAGTTCTAGTTTTACTGCAATAAAAAAATGCAACACTGTCACTAGAACTGATATTACACCTAGAACTAGAAGCATTCAGGTTTAGCCGTCTTAAGAGATGCACGGCTAAACCTGAATGTTTCTGGCTCTTGCTCTAGTGTTAGTTCTACTTTTCTTTCATTAAAAATATACGACAATCTAACGCTAAACAACATTTAAAACTAGAACTAACACTAGACCTAGAAACATTCGGGTTTAGCCGCACGTCTCTCAAGACGGCTGAACCCGAATAATTCTAGTTCTAGGTCTTGTGTTAGTTCTAGTGATAGTGTAAAACTAACACTAGACCTAGAACTAGAAAGTATCGGGTTTAGCCGTGCGTCTTCAGACCTAACTCAAAGTGGAATTTCTACACAAAATTCTGAAATAAATCAGTAAATTAGGTGGATCCGAATGTAACGTGAAAAAAAATATGTCGCATCTGGGTGACAAAGAATCTGTTGTAGCAGCGATTTTTAAATCTATAATGGAAGGGACACAGAAACATATCACTCAACAGAAGAATAGTTTCAGTAAATAGTCTTCAGCCAGTAGTATTGTAATCTCCAAGCACTTAGTAGTGTTTTGGCAGCAGTATACAGTGTTCTGGAAGCATTAAATAGTCTTTGCCAACAATATCTACCTTTCTCCAAGCAATTAGTAGTATTTCCAACAATATTTAGTACTCTGAAAGTAGTTATTAGTCTTTTGAAAACAGTATCTTGTCTTTCCAAGCAGATAATAGTTTCTCCCAGCAATATTTAGTCTTCTCCAAGCAGGTCCTAATCTTTGCTAGTAGTATATAGCGCTCTGAAAACAGTCAGTAGTCTTATGGAAGCAATATCTCATCTTTCCAATCAGTTTGTAGTTGTTTGTTAGCACTATCTAGTCTTCTCCAAGCAGATTGTAATCTTTTCCATCAGTATTTAGCATTTTAGAAACAGTAGGTACCTTTTTTGGAGAGCATATCTCTTCTTTCTGAGTAGTTATTAGTCTTTTCCAGCAGTATCTAACATTCTGAAAGCAGTAGGTAACTTTTTGGAAAGCATATCTCTCTTCCAAACAATTATTAAAGTCTTTGAAAGCAATAAGTAGTCTTGGAAGCAGTATTCCGCCTGTCCAAGTAAGTTAAAATCTTTAACAGTAATGTTTAGCGTTCTGGACTCAATAGAAAACAACAATTTGAAAACAGAATCTAGTCTTTTCCAACTTTTTGAAATAGTATTTCCTCTCCAAGCAGTTTTTAGTCTTTTACTAACAGTATTTAATCTTCTGATAGCAATAATAGTCTTCTGACAACAGTATATAGCATTCAGGAACCAATAAGTTAAAGAGGGGGTAGGGCATCAGGTATAGATTTTAGATTATCTTTAGTTTATAGATGGTAAACACAGATATTTTAGTCGTTGTGCGTCGAAAACCTGAGAAACAACAGTATTTCATCCGAAAATATGCGTTTTAACCAAATGTGCTGCGAAAATATGCTTAGCACGGTCGATGACGTCACAAAAAGTGACGTCACGTCAAAACTTTAAAGTAATTTTTCAGTAAGTTTTACACTTTTCGGCTCTTTTTTTATTTGTAACGGCTTACTTGAGTGATTATCCGTGGATTTTTAAGCGTCATGATGATTCTTTTATTATACCTACATTTTTTTAGGGTTGAATTGTTCGATATGTAATAAAAACTTTGCAAGTAAACATAACTTAAAACAGCATCAAGAAACTCATAAATCTCCTGATGAAAAAGATGTTTTTCTATGTCCCCACAAAAATTGTGAGCGGGTTTATTTATATAAAAAGAATTTAGATTTTCATATAAAGAGATTTCACGAAAAAGTGGATGTACCGAAAATTCCATGCCACTATGAAGGCTGCAATAAAATGTTAAGTAAAATGGTTGGTAAAAAATGAGTTAATATCTTTTTAATTTAAGTTAAATTTATTTATTTTTAGCAAAATTACAAAATACACATAGAAAAATGTCACTTAAACACAAAAAGCGCTGATAAAAAGCCACGAAAAACGAGAAAAGATAAAGGAAGCTTTAAGAAATCTATTAGAAGTAAATTAACTGGATTAATAACTTTAAACAATGAGATTTCTACCAATACAAATACTGAAATAGAATAAAATTTCTTTTACATTACTTATTTTTTTTCTTCCCCAAATGAACATTACTAGCAACATTAACTGGTACATGTATTTTCTGGGAATAACCATTTATATAATACAAAGATATCGAAGAAAACAACAAACACGTAGTTACACAAACTCTATGTAAAGTTGCAGTGGAAAATAGGGCTAATAATAAACATATTATTACTTCGGGAAACATTTTCGATTGAAACGATTTCCCGAAAACGCTTGCCTCTAAATTTCCGACGGCCGTAAACGAAAAAACGAATAAAAGCGATCCCAAATAACCACCAACAAAATGATTTAATTGCGTTGAAATAAACCATTGTTTGTACATTTGCATACCAGAAAATAAGAGCAACGATACAATTAATGCTACTACGAATGATAATTGATTTGATAAAACCATTTTTATAAAAAATATTCGAATGTAGAGATTCTAACCTAAAAATAAATTTTAAGAAAGTGAGGTTAAGTTATCAAAGTTACCGATAAATTGTGTATTATTGGGTTATACTTACGTAAATATTTATTATGCTATAAAGCGATTTAAGTTTAGATTATGTTTATAAATAATACTGTTTTAAAGAATTTAAATATTTTTAGTTATAAATTGTATGATGTGTCAAATGTCAAAAACGTATTGAATCAATTTCACACCTTTATTAGATTTTAAATCGTTTATTTTAATTTTTAATTATTTTATCAAAATGAATTTTCTCGTTATTAATTTTTAATTCATTTTAAGCTATTTAATAATGTTAATGAATTATTTGAAATACATAATTCGAAACTGTCAAATTTTGACATTAACGTAACCTAAAATTTACAAAATTACTAAATTAAATTAACCAAAGAAATTGTATATATAGAAGCCGCATCGTCTATGTTCGCCCTATGGTTCGCCCGTATACCGGTTTGAAGCCAACGCAAGGGCATTTGTTTGCAAACATAATAGACCTTGGTCCTACTTAGGACTGATTGTATGTCGAAATCCCACCGTAAGATGGCACTAGCGTCTATACTGAAATAATTTAATTAAACCAACAATTTTATTATTAATAGTGGGAATGATGACAGACAGCAATAACAATTATTACCAGTATCATTCTTTTAATTTAAAAAGTAGAGATTCCAATTCGTGTTATATTTTTAAATTTGTCGCTAACTTCATCTTTTAAAAAGTTGAAGTTTATTCAGAATGACAGATAAAAACGTCATTTTAAAGTGTTTTTTCGGTAAGAGTATAATAAAGTAATGATGGTATGATTAAATAATTAGATTATAATTGACATTATAGCTTTGTTTCAGCTAACGTTACAAATTATTAGAAGCTCGTCAGATGCAATCTCATATGTCATATGATGATATTCAAATGTGTGGCATTATTTGACAGGTGTAATTGCCATATTAATTGCATCTGAGGAATTCCCAACCAGTCGGAACGTTAATTGGAGCCACCGTTAGTGGCTCCAAACATTTTCCAAACAGTTATTCTGTGGTTGAAGTTTTTTATAAAAACCCCATCCAACCTGTATTCTAGTGGTTCGGTTCTTAGCTGAATAATTCCAAAATATCCCCAACAGATGGCGCAACATGCGTTCAATTTTTAGTACGAAGTTTTTGTTTAGAGAGTTTCATTTCTACGAAGCTATTTTCTATGGTTGGCATTCATTAGCCTTGCAGCTATTTTATATTGTAGAGAAAACGATATTAAACTACTTTCATTTCCGCCGCACTAGGGCACATTTGGCCGCTACCCACCAAATGCAGCCTCTAGATGTCCGGCTCTATGGGCCATTTAAATCAAGATGTAAAGCATCATTCAACGACTTTTTGAACTCCAATCTTAGGATAACGATTAAAATAAATCACATTCCTCAACTTTCACGTGAACCATTCTTGTTATCATTTACCCCTATAAACATCGTGAAAGCGTTTGCTACAACAGGAATTTGGCTGCTAAATGATTACCTTCCAGCAATGGTCACTGACAGGCCTTTCAGCACACCCGTGGCAATTCGGGATTTAGATATTTCCGTAGCAAAACAAGATGCAATGAGTGACATTTCTGGATCTTGCCTGGATCAATGAGGTCTTGGTCCTTCTGGAATCCAAGCTACTACTGACATTATCAAGATGGTGACAAGTATTGTTGAAGAATTGCTTGTAAACGTAATCAAAGAGAGAAAAAAGAATTACACGGTTGCTGAAATTCGCCCTTTTCCAAGAGCACTCCCACGAAAGATTGTACGTAAATCCAGGCAAGGAAGCTACAAAATTTACCCCAACACACCGGAAAAGGAACCAATTGAAGACATTGAAAGGGAGAAAATGATGAAACAAGCTAAGAAATGCTACAAGACAAGTCTTTCCAACAAAAAGTAAGAAATCAGAAAAAAGAAGGTGGTGTCAAAATTAAACACTGAAAAGAAAGTAAGTAAAGAAAAGAAACGGCAAAAGAAAATTCAAGAAGATCTTCATCTGATGCAGATATCGAGGTTCCAAAAACAAAAAAAGGCAAATATTCTTCTGATTCATCACATCTATACAACATGGACCTAGAAGATGAAGAAACTGATATGCCAGGCTTACTAGAGTTTGAAACAATAATTGAGATCGATAATTACATTTTGGTTAAGTTTTCTACAAAAAAAAAGCATCAAATATTACATTGACAAAGTCCTTGATGATCGATCTGATGAATACGAGGTCAGCTTTTTGGAAAAAAAAGGCAATACAGGTTTTGTGTTCCCGAATATCTTGGACGTGTCAGTGGTCCCTAGGTCTGATGTCATTTTGAAACAGCCACAATCTATCAAGTCAAGCACTATAAGAGTAAATGCAATAATTAAGTTTCCAATTAACTTAGATATGTATTACGTCATTGAATAAAGAGTTTGAATTCATTGTAGCCCGTTTCTTTTTTGTATTATAATTTTGGTCTCTTACAAAAGTGTCCGAATGTGCCTCGGTCTCCCCTACTGCTTCTATAGCTACATTGTTAGCGTCTGTTGTAATAACAAATGTTTTTTTTTAAGTCCGGGCATTGTACAAGTCTATGATGCATAGTCTATGATGCAAGTGAGTTAAGTGTAGTGTAGTTAGTATTATGTGTTGGCAACATTGGGGGGTTTGAGAGTCGTAAGGCGACTTGTAACGGTTGTTAGTACAGTAAAGAACGCTCCATTATAAAAGGTAATAGAGTAATAAACGATTTAATAAGAACTAAAAAGTATATCATTCGTGTCTACAGATACAAAACATGGTGTCACGTTAAAAATTAAAAAAAAAAGAAGAAAAAAAAAGAAAAGTGAAATGGCGAATATGCAAGAAGAAATAGATAGGTTAAAACTGTTCATTGAAAATATGAGTCAAGGTCAGGGCGCGTCGACGTTCGTTAATCCGATCCCATCACCGGGGAAATTTTCATTTGTTAAAAATTAGTGGCAAAGTTGGATCACACATTACGAAAGATATCGATATGCAACGAGACTACAAAATTCCGATGAGAAAACACAAATTCATAGCTTACTCCTACATATGGGATCGAAGGTAACCAAATTATTGGAAACATTACAAAAAGTAGAAAGTAGTTTTAATACATATAAAGAGTTAAAAGAGTTTTCGACAAACACTTTACCGATACGAAGAATATAATTTACGCCCGTGCTAAATTTAGTATTGAGAAAACAGAAAGAGGGGGAGACAGCTCACGAGTATATTACTGAAATCATAAGTTTGGCAAAACATTGCAATTTTAAACAACTGGGAGAAGAGCTCATAAGAGATAGGTTAATGGTAGGAATACTAGATTGTAAACTTATTGTTAGTGAATCGTTACAGATTGTCACAGAGCTAACATTAAATAAAGCGATCGAAAGAATAACCCAAGCGGAACGAATTCATTTGGAAAATAAAGAATTAAGAGGAAAAACAGAACAAATCGATAGAGTAAAAAAGTTTAAATATGGAAAAAGAAATCAAGAAGGAAAAAAAAGTGAATATAAAAATGAAAATAAATATAAATGGGAAGATGAAAGAAGGTCATACGATATGTGTATAAGATGTGGAAGGACACCGAGACATGACAAGACAAAATGTCCGGCAATTAACGTACGATGTTTGAAATGCAAAATGTTGGGACATTTCCAAGCTCATTGTAGAACAAAAAAGTTTAACGAAGTAGAAGAAAATGCTACACATAGCGACACTGATGAGCCGGAAGAACAAAACTTCTTGGAAATAAGCATTGACGGAGTTATAAAATCAAAACGATGGATTGCAAAACTGGGAGTTGATGACGAACATGTAAATTTCAAGATAGATACTGGTGCTGATGAAAGTATAATTTCTTATCAAGAGTATAAAGGAAAATTATCAAGAAAAATTGAGTTAAAGCCTACAAAGACAACATTGTTGGGTCCTGGAAATGGTAAAAATAGAAAATTATCAGTGAAAGGCCGAATAAAATTACCTGTAACATGGAAGAACAATAAAGCCGTGATTAAATGCTATGTGGTAGAGACAAATGACAATTTATTGGGACGACCAGCATTATTACAATTAAAAATAGTGGAATGGATGCATGACAAAGTAAAAATAAAAGAGATTAACGAAGTAGAAAATGGGAATGGAAAGAGTTTTCAAAAGAAAATATTTGAAGAATATGAAGACCTGTTCAGAGAATTAGGTGAGATGAAAAATTATGAATATAAAATAAAATTTGTTGAAAATGTGGAGCCCTATGCTATGCGGATTTTGGCAATTAAAATTAGCAAAAGAATCACAGAAACTGACTGCTTTTTTAACTCCATTTGGGAGATACATTTACAAACGCATTCCATTTGGAATTACGAGTGCCCCAGAGGTATTTGAAAAAATGATGTATCAGTTAATTAATGAATTGAATTGGGAAGGCGTACATGTGCACGCAGATGATATTTTGGTGACTGGAAGAAATTCAATGGAACATGACGAGAAATTACGAATTGTTTTGAATAAAATTAAAGAAAGTGGTTTGACACTGAATAAAGAAAAATATGAAATTAAAAGTGAAGAAACCAGTTATTTGGGATATATTGTGAGCAAGGATGGTATCAAAATAGACCCAAACAGTATTGAAGCAATTAAAAGATATCCAACGCCGAAAAATCGTAAAGAAGTGAGAAGATTTCTCGGTATTGTCAATTACGTAGCTAAGTTCATTGATACAATGTCGGATAAAACAAGAACAATACGCGAACTACTGCGAGAAGATTCAAATTATCACTGGACAGAGGAACATCAACACGATTTTGAGCAATTAAAGGAAGAAATAATACGACAACCGGTTTTGGCTAAATTCTCTACGAAGAAAAGAAGTAGAATATCCGCCGATGCGTCACAGTATGGTATTGGAGCTGTTTTGGAACAACTTCAAGAAAACGGGGAATGGGCCCTGTATATTATTGTTCGAAAACCTTGAGTGAGGCAGAGCGGCGCTACGCTCAGATAGAAAAGGAAGCTCTAGCCGCTACGTGGGCTTGCGAGCGTCTTGAACAGTTTCTGATTGGTACAGAATTCCTAATTCTAACCGACCACAAACCATTGACCGTATTATTGGCAACAAAGGAGATCAGCAAGTTATCAAATCGACTTCAAAGATTCCGAATGCGGTTACTTAAATTTAATTATCGAATTGAGTATGTTCCAGGTAAATCATTCCATGTACCAGATGCCCTATCCAGAGCCCCACTTCAACAAGGAACAACAGACCTGGACGCTCTCTTAATGGATGAAATGTATATCAGTTCAGTAATAAAAGAGGTTGATGGATGGATTTGTCCTGAAAGAACGATCAGAGAAGAACAAGATAAGGAGATGATAATTATGGAGGCCAAGGAAAACGTTAAAGCCGGATGGAAAAGAAAAGAGAAATCACAATATTATAAGTACAGAAACGACTTAGCTATTGATAAAGAAATATTAATCTATAAAGACCGATTGGTAATACCAAAAACCCTAAGAAAGAGATGCTTAAACCTATTACATGACGGACATTTTGGGATGGGTAAATGCAAAGCCAGAGCGAAACAAAGTTTATGGTGGCCTGGAATTTATCAACAGATCAACGAAATGATTCAGAATTGCGAAATATGTCTACAAACAAAACCAACAGCAACGGAACCGATGATATCCACGGAGATTCCAGGAAGACCTTGGAGTGTAGTTGGAGTAGACTTGGCCGATTACAAAAATCGCATATATATAGTAATTCAGGATTATTATTCAAAATACCCTGAGGTGAGAAAACTAACATCTACAAAGAGTAGAGACATAATTGAAGTAATGAAACATGTATTTGTCCGACATGGCATACCGGACGTTGTAAGATCCGATAATGGTCCACAATTCAACTGTCTTGAATTCAGACAATTTGCAGAAAAGTATGGATTCAAGTGGACATCATCCAGTCCAGAATATCAACAGTCAAGCGGATTGGCTGAGAGTGCTGTCAAAACGTTAAAAACAATTTTAAAAAGGAACCCAGAAGATCCCTATTTAGGTTTGCTGGCGTATCGCAACTCAACATTGACATGTGGCGCTTCTCCAGCACAGCTGTTATTTGGACGAAACCTTCGCGACAGAATACCAATATCGAAGAATATCGAACCCGAAATTACCCAATCATGACCAAATAAGAAAAAACCTGGAGGAGGAGAAAAGAAAACAAAAATATAATTATGATCGACGACATAGAACAATGGAAAGGGAAGATTATAAGGTCGGCGACAGAGTGTGGATTATGGACAGGAAAAGAGAGGGTATTGTACGAACGAAAACAGATAAACCAAGATCTTATACGGTTGAGACTGATGGTGGAAAAGAAATAAGACGTAACACAAACCATTTAACGAAACTACCCAAGGTAAGAGAAGACGATAAACAAGACGAAGCCTCTACTCAAGATAAGCCTTTAACCGAAAACATAAGAAGTACAAGAAACAGAAGACCTCCAAGTAAACTTAAGGATTATAATGTTTATTAAAATAGTTTGGAATCTATTCAGTTTAAATTGCTTTATTTTCAAGGTTGTTGTCAAAATTATTTTCGAATTAGACTTAGTTTCTTTTAGGCAACTAATAAGTCAATTATTTCGATGTTTGTATGATTAATTATGGATGTAGTGTAGTTAGTATTATGTGTTGGCAACATTGGGGGGTTTGAGAGTCGTAAGGCGACTTGTAACGGTTGTTAGTACAGTAAAGAACACTCCATTATAAAAGTTAATACAAAGAGTAATAAACGATTTAATAAGAACTAAAAAGTATATCATTCATGTCTACGGATACAAAACATTAAGGTCGCGTGTAACTGCGTAAGCGCGTGTACAGGGAAGATAAACAACATTTTACTACAACATTCTCTTTATTGATTTTAGAAAATATAATTGAATTTATAAAAGAGTCCAATTATCGGAACAAAATTGTTCTTGTTTGTATTCCCTATAAATATCACACCAAAAACTCGCTCTATTTCTAAATAAATCTACATCGAATTGGTTTTTATCCAAATTTATATCAAGATATGTTATATTATTTCTTTTCGCAACATTCCAATGTTGGGTTTCGTTAATTTTTACATTTCCTTTCTTTACAAAATCACCAAACAACTTAACAGTGTTTTTAATCGATTTATACTCAATGGAATCGTTCTCAATTGAATATGTATGAGCGTTAATATCATATTTAAATAAATATGTTAAATCATCCAAATGAGAACAACCTTCAAAATTATATGTTATATTATTACTTCGTTTAATCACATTCATTTTCGAATCGGAGGAGAATAAATACACCAGCATGTTTTGTGCATGCTTTAAATGACCAAAAATTGTTTCATATAATGGATAAGTAAAATAACTATCTGTTTGTATAGCAATATGTGATAAGTTATGATAAGATTCGTTGTTGCCGTAGAAATAATCGATTTTATGGGTCAAATCTTGTATTTGGTAATCATTTAAATTCAATTGGAAAGGTATGTTTCTTTCTGTTGGCCATGGTTTGTATGTTGCGTTATCTCTTAAAACGTGTAGTGCGTCAAAAATAATTCCTTCGGCGCTTGTGATTCCAACCATTAAATGGACTGAAGTGTTAAAATTTCCGAATTTAATGATATCTCTTGGTGCTTTCGATAAAAATGCTGTGGGTGAGTTGTCTTCAATGGTTGGTCCAAATTGATTCGGAATATGGATTGGAATTAGCTGAAAAAAGAAAAATGTGTTTTATTTTACAACCATGTTGGAAACAAAAAAAATTCATTAATACAAGGACTTTGTAATCAAATCAGTGTAATCAATTTATTGCAGTTCAGCATTAGTTCTTTTGGCTGTTCCAGCGGCCACCTTCCCCCTAGGGATTCTTTCCATACCAACTGAACGACATGTTTGTCTTGTCTCCTAACATGGGCGGTCATTCTCAATCTTTCTGACTTACTTAAACTGATGAACTCTTTCAAAACTGTAATGATCCATTCTTACGTTCAACTTCCCTTGCAACAACTTCCCATTTTATGAACTCTTGACATCGAATCATAGTTGGTTGTCTTTCCAATTATATCTATGTCATCAGTGAAAGCCAATTTTTATTGCAATTGTAGATCTAGTTTCTGCTTAGTTCTGTCATGGCATTCCACAACTTCCCACCAACAGCTGGTGTAGTTTTATTGTATTCCCAACATTTCTCCATTATTCCACATACGCTTCAATCGTTCCAGTAACATTAGGGAAAAGACTATATATCCTGCGGTAATGAGGGATATACCCCTATAGTAAAAGTTGCTGTCGTCATTTATTGCAGTTTCACCTCTCGGTTTTGAGCCGTTTTTCATATTCTTTACCTCCTGGCAAAAAAGTTTATTCTATTTGATTCAAGTTCTTCGAGAAGATTCTTCTCGTATGTCTTTTTTGGCTCTTATTGTTTTTTTCTGCATTTTCCTGGACTCGCTGCGTTCCTGTGTATTTTGTTCGTTTGGACTTTCTATTCGTTGTCGAGCCTGGCCCCTTAACTTTAAGGCTCTTTCCCATTCGTCGTCAAACCATTTTCTCTACTTTGTATTCTTTCTTTTTCCTCCGGTGGTTTGCATTCTGTGAGTCATTGAATTTTTCATTGTTTCCGATATTGCGTCAGCACTGTTTTGATTTGTTACTGATCTCAATGTAGTTTCCAGAGTTGTTCGATATTCATTTATTTTTTCAGATTTTCTGACCTGTTCTTTTTCTGAATTTGGCTGTAACCAGAATGTGGTCATTGTTTGCGGCCAGGCCATGTAAACTTCTAACGTCGATGATACTGCTGCCACGTTTACATTATAATCAGAACATGATTAATCTGCTTACTCGTTATTCCGTTTTTAGAGACCCAAGTCTGCTTGCTTAATCATCGTTGATTAAATGAAGAGGTTATTTGATGTTGCAAAATCCTCCAGTGTAAGTCCGTTATTACTGCAGAATTCGTGTAGGCTATGTATACCGATGTTGAGTTTAAAAACCCTATCCCTTCCAACCTCTGCATTAAAGTCTCTTATAAGAAGTGTTGCATCTTGTTTACGCAAACCAAAGCCGTTAGTTGGTCGTAGAAGACATCTTTAATTACATCATCCTTTGCTTCGGTTGGTGCATGGACTAATAGCATCGAGATCTTGTAGAGTTTTCCTCTAAGCCTTATGTAATAAATTCGTTCATTACTGGTTTAAAATCTATAACAGAATCTAGCATATCTTTCCGTACGACAAAAACCGTTCAAAATTCACGTTTATTGTCAGGGCTACCATTGTAAAGTAGGGGAGAGAGAGGCACATTGAAGGTTATGTAGGAGCAGCTATTTCTTATTAAAGTATCTAGTGGGGTACATTGATACGAAACAAGATGAGCCACATTGATGCATGTATCAATGTGCCTAATCTTAGAATTGAATTTCGTATAATTCAAGATGATTGCCATTTTTAAGCTGAAGATATGGTGCGCACTTATTGTAAGAAAACATAGAGAGCTTTCATTGGTGAAGAAGATATTAAATTAGCTATAAGAGATGCTATCAAACACAAAAAATCTATCCGAGTTGCTGCAAATGATTGCAATATAAAAGCAGCAACACTTCAGCACAGAATTGAAAAATATAAAAAACTAAATTGCCGTGCTAATGATAGCGGCACAGATTCTAGTGCCAAATCTGATATTGAAGTAAAGCGAAAGTACCAGTCGAAATATACAAGCCAACAAATATTCACAAACGATGTTGCTTATCAATACGCTAACCTGGGAAAATAAGAAAATGGCTGTTAAATTTTGGATGCAATCTTATATGAAACGGCATCCTTCTCTAAGTTTACGTAAGCCAGAAAATACAAGTCTGGTTAGAACAACTGCATTTAACAGAAACACCGTTGATGAATTTTTTAATAATTACCTGTCAGTGATAGAAAAATACAAATTTAGTGTCGATAGAATTTACAACATTGTTGAAACTGGTATAACCACAGTGTTGCCAACACCTAGAGTGATTTCAGAAATGTAATTTTCTTAACTTGTGCAATTATTTTTTCAGGAAAAAAGCAAGTAGGCCAAATTGTATCGGGTGAACATGATCAGTTAGCTACTTTTTGTGGAATTATCAGTGTGTGTGGTTCAATAGTTTCTCCAGCATTTATATTCCCTAGAGTTAGATTAAAAAATTACTTCCTGAATGGGGCGCCAAGCTGCTCACTTGGCTTAGCTTCAAAATCAGGTTGGATGATGGGTGATTTATCCTTGGAAGTATTAAAGCATTTATGCAAGCATACAAATTCATCAACTGAACGCCTAATTCTATTGCTTCTTGATAACCATGAGTCGCACTGTACCGTAGATGCAATTAATTATTGCCGAACAAATGGTATCACAATTCTGTCGTTTCCTCCACACACTAGCCATAAACTTCAACCGCTAGACGTTGGAGTTTATGGCCCGTTCAAAGCCAACCTCAAAAGTGCATTTAATGACTGGATGTTGACCAACGCTGGAAAGCAAAGATCTATTTACAATATTCCTTCCTTAGCAAACAAAGCGTATTTCAATTCATTTACTCCCAAAAATGTTTTAAAGGCTTTTGAGAAAACAGGAATTTGGCCAATAAAGAAATTAGTTTTCTCTGATGAAGACTTTTTATCTAGTTATGTAACTGATCGAGATGATCATGATTTAACTAATCATACAAACAAACAACCCCGAACATAGTCAAGGCCTAACCAGTAAGAGCCCAAACCTATCTATATCAACTTTACCAGAACTACCAACATCTGTGGTACTAAATCAAGTGGCATCAACGTCGGATGTATCAGCTTGCACAGAATTGAATGAAAGTGCTTCAATTCTGAATCATCTTCCTGAACACGTTAAACCGTTTCCCAAGGCAGGAGCCAGAAAGAAAACTTCGAAAGTGAAGAAAGGAAAATCTCGTATTTACACATCAACTCCAGAAAAAATTAGATTAGAAGAAAATTTGAAGCAAAGGAACGAAAAGAAATTAAAGCAGGTAACTAAAAATAAATATAAATACTGCAATATATACACAGCATTAGTCACGGTCTTCTTCTGATTCAGTAGATGATATCAGCGACGAGGAATCCCCACCATTGTGCGATGACGATCTGTTGAATGTTGATGATTTTGTTGTTGTAAAATTTTGCACCAAAAAAACTGTCAATAACTTTTTTTGGGTAAGTTTTTACGAAAGCAAAAAAGAAACAACAAATTTTCTTTTCCACAAAATGATGATATCAGTTTAGTATCACGTGAAGATATTATATTTAAACTTCCCAGCCCAATTCCTGTGGCTGGTACATCTCGCCTGGCTAGTTATTTGTATTTTCCTAGTTTACCAAATATTGTAATTCAATAAATATTTTTAAGCATTGGTTTTCTTGTTAATTTCCTACTTGTATCAATGTGCCCGCAAACTGCCTCACTGTGAGGTAGTTTGATACAGAAGACGATTTTTTTTTGAAAAATCTTTTGTGTCTAAATTATGATACATTTATGAACTTTAACAATTAAGGGATATACGGGAAGGCCTACTCTAAATTTTAACAAAAGTTGCAAAACTTTTCAATATCCCCTAAACGTAACAGGTGCTGTTAAGCAAAAATCGCATCAATGTGCCTCTCTCTCCCCTACTATAGATTTGCCGATTTTTAGTTTCCGCTACCAGCTCACCTAATTTCCTGAGTAGCTGTAATGTTATCACTTCTGCAGGTTTGTAACAGCTTAACACATTCAGGTTTCAATATTCAAGTCTTGTTTTCCTCGCCGTGGTCGTCCTCGTACATCTGTCCAATTCCGAGGCCGTTTCTTATTAGTTCAGTAGCTTTTTTCTTCGAATGATACCGTGGTGTTCTCTGACGCCAAAATGATATGGTATTACATTTTTCAGATAAGGATTAAGGTTGAGTAGCAACTTTTTTTCGAATACTTTATCAAGCAGCAGAAGCAAACTGATAGGGTGGTAAGATGCCGCTTCGTTTTAGTCATTATCGGGTTTAGCTAGCATTTTAACTTCAGCAATTGTTCATTGTACTGGGAAGTATTCGAGTCGCAGCATGACATTAAAAACGTACGTAATGAGCTTGATTACCTAGTCAGGTACTTGCTTCTATATTTGCCCTGTAATGAGATCGCTAAGCAGGGGCTTTTCTGGGTTTCAAAGTTGTAATCATACCGAGGTCTGTCTTTTTAAACTTTTCCGTCGGTAAACAATGTATTTGGTGAGGGGTCTCTAGAGTGTCCCCCATGTGTTCTTCTTGAGTAGATAAAGTTTTTGTCATGTGAGGTTGAAAGACTGAAGTTATACAGGGTGATTCTCAACCTATACGCATAAACTGGAGGATTTATTCCTTATGACAAATAATGACAAAAATTGTAGTAAAAGTTTTTTAGTTTCCTAGATATCCGATATAATCTGATAATATGTTTCCTGTAAGATGGATAGGTCGAGATGGTACAATGGCCAGGCCACCGTGATCGCCTGGCCTCAATCTTCTTGATTTTTACTTTTCGGGTCATTTGAAAAGCATAGTGTACGCCACTGAAGTTAATACTGAGCAAATATTACAAAATCAGATACATGCTGCGGCCCAGACAATAAATATCACGTTGGATTTTGGATAAGCTAAGTTTCCACAATCACCAGAATTTGTTAGAGTTTCCAGGCAATGTGTGTGCGGCGTTGAATTGAGATTTGTTTTACGGTAAGCGGCTGTTTTGCCTTTATTTGTACGCTTTTACTGTAATATATGATTTGGCTAAGTAGTCAATCCGTCCGTGTGTTTCGGTGAAGGTGTTGCAGCCCATGCAGCTTTCTGAATATGTAGGGTTAAATTTGTGGTCGTTGTTTCTATATAATCCCTCGATATGACGGGAATTTGGATGTCCATTGAGATATCTAAAAACGGTTAGAAATGTTGATATGTCAAAGGACCAGTACGTAGGTTGTCCTATGGAGTGTGTGTATAGACAATTTTGTTGAACTGAATTTAATAATTTTCTGCCTTTTGGTGTAATTATCTTAAATCCTCATTGGTGGTGTTTAGCATTATAATCTCAAGTCGCTATGAATCTGTGATCTAGTTTTCTATAGAATCTGTTCAAGTTATTCTTTGATATACTTTTATTCCATGGGCAGTACACGGCTGAAAATTGCTGGAAGCTGGAGGCTGGAGGAAAACGGTGTTTTCCTCCTTATACTCGGCCTAAAGGATGTTGGAACTTCTCTTTGTCAAATATGCTTCAGAGATAAGCATGAGATCGAGTTTGTGTTCGGTTATAAATAGTTGAGTTCTTGTGAACGATTCATTAATCCGTTAGCGTTCCAGACTCCAATTTTAATATTATTGAATGTGTAACGTCGAAAGTAGAGTGACTAGTAGGTCTAACATTTTATCCATTTTGCCATCATTTTATAGATTATTACCTCTAGGGTGTTTAGCGATGGTCATTATAGATTAGTTTGAATAACATTAGATAGTTCGGGTTTCTGATTTTGAGTCTTCTTGTCAGCAGATTGAAATGTGACCTGAGCAAAGCTTATGTTAGTATTCACTCTTTATAAATGGCGTAGCCTTTATAGCAGGCGGAATTGTATCTAGGAACTTTAAGGTTTTGTAAATAGCCTTATTTGTTGCATCTCCTTTTTGCTGTTTCTTTGTCGTATATTTGACACATTTTTAACTTTGTGACCAAGGTTTTCCATTGCTTTCTTTAGATCATCCAATTCTGTAGAGGGATGGATATTTTTGAGCAACACTCTGAAGCTACGATTTTTTTGAGTTAATATATATGAAGTTGAGTTCTCTTTTCCGTTAATGCAGCAATAACTTTTGAATAAGTATCTGTGGTGTTTACTTGGATTTCGACTTGAGTGGCACTAGAATTGATTTTTTTTTGTTTGAATTAAAATTGCCCTGGGTCTGTACAAGTAGCGTACATGGTATAAAAACGTTCAAGACTGTGCCGGCGCAACGTCTTCAATCACACCACTCCCAAAGATATGGTGTGGTAATTTTGCGTAAAAATACTGATATTGGTGATTATTAAAATATCTCAAGCACATAAGCATAAAGGAGGAGGGTTTATCATATAAATCGAAAAGATGATCATTAGTAGCACTTACCATAGTAGCATTAAGGGAAGCTTTTTCCAATTGATGATCAGTAACATTTTGTAAAAACTTCAACATTTCTTCTTCATCATCACCATCAAAACCTAAAAATTTTGCCGAAGCAACTCCATTATTCCTTTGACCATTACACCAAGGCGATAAAGCAGTCCCACTTTGCAGAATAGCTCTTTGAAATAAACCTTGTGATAACGGAGATAAAACGTGTAAATGTACACTGGCTGCACCAGCACTTTCTCCGCTTATCGTAACTTTTTGGGGATCACCACCAAAATTACGAATATTTCGCCGAACCCATTTTAAAGCCATAGTTTGATCTTTAAGACCAGCATTTCCAGTCACGTTAACATTTGGATTGTTAAAATGGGTAAATCCTAAGATTCCCAATCGGTAATTAATAGTGACTAGGACGATATCTTGAGTCATCAAAAACTCGGGTCCATAAGTGCTGTAATTTCCGGTTCCTTCAGTAAAGCCACCACCGTGTATAAAAACCAAAACGGGTTTAAGTTTTTTTGGTTTTAACTAAAATGAGATTTTCTTTAATAAAAAGTAAGGTCAACATAACGGTTATTTCTACTTTCGGTGTGTAAACATTGAGATATAAACAATTTTCGGTTCCTGCGAATGTATTTAGAACGAAAACTTTTTGTAGACATATTGGAGATTCTATGGTTGCATCGAGAGTTCCTGACCATTTTTCAACTGGTTGTGGATCCTAAAAATTACAGAATTTTGGTACTAAATTAAATTTGACATTAAAATAATGCTAATAACTTACTTTGAAAAAAAAAAAGATATAATAAAACAATAATGTGTTTTAAACTTCAGTTTTTCGCGTTTATTTTAAATTTCCTCGGTACCGGTTTCGACACTATATTAGGTGATCATCAGCCGAATCTACAAAACAATTGAATTACAAAAAATCCTGTATGAATGAGAATAATTAAAACTATAAATAAAATAATATAAAATCTTATAAAATATAATTTTTTACAAACTTACGGTCAAGAATAAAACTGATTTGAAATTGGAAACATCTGTTTGGTCATTAGAGATAAAATTTCACACGTAACTAACAATTTCGAATTATTTTCACGAAAAGACACGAGACATGAAACATAAATCAAGGACTCAATACAATAATACAAGTTATGAAATGAGTTTTTTTAAAAAACGGGTTTGAGAAGAAAGGAAAATTAAATTTAACAATTCGCCGTTTCAAAAATCATTTAAACATTTAAATAGAGGTGTAAAATTAAGATCTATTTGATCGTTAAGGAGGGTGTATTTTTTTTTTATATTTATTAATTTCATAAGCCTCTAAAACAGGAGTGGCCAACCCGCGGCCCGCTCCGGATAATTTTGCGGCCCGCGAGATTTATTAATTTACCAATAAAATAACCTAAATTTACCAGCTAATAACAAATTATATGTAAAAGAAAAAAAGAGCTTGATAATTTTATTTTCAAAAAGTTAGACCTGGTTATTTATGGAGCTTTAGAAGAAATACTGTCAATATGTGGAAGTAGTTAAATACTTGGCGCCTGGAAGTCCAGCCCCAACATCCTCATTGTAAATCGGTTATAATAAGAGAACCTATCCCTAGAAATTCGACTTCTTTTATTGTTTATTTATTGTCCTTCAAAAACCCTTTTGAGTAACCCCTCTATTGCAATACCTGGCTAGGTCCTTGTTTGCCGGTGGCTGTGTAAAAAACGGCGTTAAAATCTGTCCGCTCACTTTGACTATTGAAGTGCGTCAGTGCTAGTTGATAATTTGTTTTCCAGTTTCGTTTTATGTGAAAGCAGGTAATACAAATTCCATTAAATTAAAAATTAATTAAATTATTTTATTTTTTTTATTTCCTTCTAATTTTATCAGTATGAGTGCAAAGAAAAGAAAAATACTGGACGAAAATAGAAGGTGTAGCGATGAATGGGAAGAAAAGTATTTTTTTATAACTCAAAACACAAAATTAATGTGTTTAATTTGTCGAGAAACCGTCGCTGTGTTTAACGTTAAAAGACACTACGAAACAAAACACAATGATTATTTGAAATTCGATAAAGAAGTGAAACAACCGAAGCTCCAGGAATTAAAGTCACAATTAAGACTCAACAAAAAATGTTTGGTTCAGCTTTACAGCAACCTTTCAATATTGTCAAGGCAAGCTATTCTGTTTCATTCTTGATAGCAAAAAAAATGAAAACATTTTCGGATGGTGAATTTGTGAAAGAATGTTTAGAAGCTATACCAAACGATATTGTTCCTGATAAAAGTAAACTATTTTCGAATATAAGTCTGTCCCGGCAAACAGTGAGTCATCGAATTAATGACATTTCAAATGAAATTATTGTAAAACTGCGCGATCGAATTCGAGATTTCAAATATTTTTCCTTAGCATTCGACGAAAGTACAGACATTTCAGATACAGCTCAACTTGTAGTATTCGTTCGTGGAATAAATGAATCATTTGAAATAACTGAAGAAATGTTAAGCTTGATAAGTTTGAAAGATACTACAAAAGGTGAAGATATTTTCCATGCTGTTGAAAACTGTTTACGCGAAAACAACTTGGGTTTGGAAATTCTTACTGGAATATCAACAGATGGGGCGCCTGCTATGATCGGCAAAAATAAGGGAGCTATAAAATTACTGATCGGTAAAATAGAATCCAAGAACAAAACTCATAATTGCTGTAAAAGAGATGATTTATTTATAATCCACTGTTTGATTCACCAACAAAATCTATGTGCCCAAGTATTATCGATGAATCATGTTACGCAAGTAGTCATAAAAACAGTTAATTACATTCGATCACATGCACTTCCTCACCGACAATTTAAGGAGTTCCTGAAAGAATTGGATTCTGAATATGGATACTTCACTCATGTCAGATGGTTAAGTCGTGGAAGATGTTTACAGCGATTTTATGAGTTACGTCAAGAAATTGATTTGTTTATGAATGATAAGCAAATACCAGTACCAGAATTAAGAAATGATGAATGGTTATTGGATTTATGCTTTTTAGTGGATATTGTCGAAAAACTCAATCAATTAAATATATCATTACAGGGGAAAGATAATTTAATAATCGATATGTTTAATCACATCAAAGCATTTCAGAAGAAATTATTGTTATTTGAATCTCAATTGAAAAATAATAACGTTCAACACTTTCCATTGTTAAAAGATTTGAAAAATTCAAAATGTAACAATTACATTAAATATGCAAAAGAAATAAGAAAACTTGCAGCTGCTTTTGAGAGTCGTTTCACTAATTTGGACAAATACAACAAAATATTTGAAATATATTCATCTCCCTTTCATGTTGAGGTCGAGTCGGCCCCAGAATATCTCCAAATGGAACTGATTGACTTACAATGCAATAGTCAGTTAAAACAAATTTTTGAAACGGTAGAATCTAAAATAGATTTTTATAACATTTATATCACAAAAGAAAAATTTTCAAATTTGAGAAATTTGGCACAAAAAGTTGTGAGTGCTTTTGGATCAACTTATACCTGTGAATCGTTTTTTTCAAAATTAAAATTCACCAAACATAAATCACGATCGAACTTGACAGACGAAAACCTACAACACCAATTACGATGTGCAAATACCCGCATAGATATAGATTTGCTAAAGTTAAGTGAAAGAGTTGAAAAACAAATATCTCACTAATTAAATAAAATATAATTATTGTTAATCATTTTATTATTATATTATCTATGTTTATCCATCATATCTTTGAGTAATAATAAAAACAATAACAATAAATCATTCTGTTTTAAATATGTACTCAAAAAAATTTTTATGCGGCCCGCGAGATTATAAAATATTTTCAAAGTGGCCCGCAAGATCGTTTTGGTTGGCCACCCCTGCTCTAAAAGGTCTAATTTAAAACCTTTGCTGCATTTGTGTAGAAGTTTAACGTTACTATATTTTATATTGTGACCTTATTCGTTTCTGTGTTTATAAATGTTAGAATTACTTTTATTTTTATGTTCTGTTATTCTACATTCCAACTTTCGGCCTGTTTGTCCTATAGAAATAAATGTTATCGCAATTAAAACAATTAATCAAATAAACACCACTTTCATTATTTATGTTTTAACTGTTGAGATGGTAATTAGATAGTAATTTATTTAGAGTAGTGTGATTGGAAAATGCTAGATTAATGTTATATTTCTAAAATATTTTTTTAGCTGCAGCTGTAATAGAGTTAAAGGGTATAGGTTTATGAATATTGGAATTTTGAATCTTAGAAAACAAAGGATCTTGTTTTAATTTGACTTTATGTATTATTTTATTAATTATATTTGTGGGAAATTTGTTATTTTTCGCCAATTCAAAAATGTAATTAAGTTCAGAGATCTTATTTTCTTGTGAAAGAGGGCAATTAAAAATGCTTTCAATGAAAAATCGAAAGCTAGACTACTTTTGTGATATGGGATGATTCGAGTCGTATGGGATTATTGTGGCTATAGAAGAATTTTTCCTATAAATGTTAAAATTAATCTTATTTTCTATATTATTAAGTGTTAGATCTAAAAAATTTAAAACGTGATTATTTTCTATTTCGATGGTAAACTGTAATTTATTATGTAGTTCGTTTAGGTATTTATGAAATTCGTCCAAGGTGCTAAGATTTCCTTCCCATATGCAAAAAATATCATCCACATATCTTATCCATTTAATTATATGTTTTCTGAAAGGATTCTGTTTTGTCATAATATAATTATTTGCATAATAGTCCAAGAATATATCTGCCAGAATGCCGGATAATGGCATACCCATGGGGTAACATTTTGGGTAACAATATGTTTCAGGATTTTATTGAAGTCATTAATGTTAATGTCGTCATCAAAGTGATTTTTGAACATTTTATTAGTGAGATCCAAGACGAAATAAATTGGAATATTTGAGTAAAGGTTTACTACATCAAACGAGATTAGCACTCTATTATTAAGTTCCAAACCCTCTACTTCCTTTATAAATTACAATGAATTTAATATAGAATAATTTGGTTTAAAATTCATTTCTTTGAAAATTTTTAACATGAAATATGCTAGTTTATATGTAGGTGAGTTATTATAGGAAGTTATAGGTCGTATTGGTATATTTTGTTTATGAAGCTTACGTAAAGCATACAGTTTTGGGATTGTTGGGTTCATATCTATAAACAGAGTGCTGAAAAAGTTTGATTGACTATCTTACTGTTAATATTTATATGTGGCGAGTACTTAATCAATGTGTCCTTATATTTATTAATAATTTCTCTGGTTTTGCGAATAACTATTTCTAAAGGGTTCCGCTCAAGTTCAACATAGTTATTTTCTTTCATAAATTGGTTTGTTTTTTCTATATATTCATCTTTACTTAATATAACAATGTCTGCGGCTTTATCGGCTTTAACATATATTGCATTATTTTCTTTTAGTTTGTTTTTAATAGATTTTATATATTTCCAGTGTTGATCATGAGAGAAATCGTTATTTGTTTCCAATTTCAAATTAGTTTTATTCTTGACCGTAAGTTTGTAAAAAATTATATTTTATAAGATTTTATAGTTTTAATTATTCTCATTCATACAGGATTTTTTGTAATTCAATTGTTTTATAGATTCGGCTGATGATTACCTAATATAGTGTCGAAACCGGTACCGAGGAAATTTAAAATAAACGCGAGAAACTGAAGTTTAAAACACATTATTGTTTTATTATATCTTATTTTTATTAATTAATCTCGCAACATGGATTCTAATAATAAAACTTACTTTGAATCTTAGTTCTCCAATTGGGGGTTTTGCAAATGGAATCGATTGGAAACTAAAAAAATGTTTGCCATCGATATCTTTAAGAACTGATCCTCTTAAATTTCCGTCAGAAATCGTAACGATTGGTTCGGAAGCGCTTGAAATAGTTGTTTGAAAGAAACAGAACGGAATTAAGAGAAATAACATTTTAAAACGTTCGGTTAAGCTGCAAATCATTTTACAACTAATTTCAGAGAAACGGTTATTTTTGATTATAATTTATTATATAATATATCTTACTGGAAATACATTTTAATCTATTCTTTTATCCGTACTTATCTGTTTTAAGGTCAATAGTGTAACATAAATTATGAAATTGGTAACTATTTTAAGAATCATTTTGTATATTACCTCATGGATTATTTTTAAAATTAATTTGATTTATTGTTTTTTTGTTTATCATAATAAAACTTAATATCAAACTTAATGTTGCAGTTCAAGTTCAGTTTAAGTTTGATAATTGCTTTTCTATATTTTACGATTGAATACTGACCTTTCTATCTTTCGCAACACTTTTAAGGTTATTCTCTTTGTCGAAGGTTAACCCTAGTTTGGCAATGGCGATTTTAGAAACGTTCAATAAATAAAGATACAACATAAATAAAGATCAAAAGATGATGATAGTTTATGATGGAAGTTCATGGAATATCGGAAGAATACAAAGAAAGGAAGAAAAGAACGTGAATTTGAACTATCGGAATTTACCATGGATGATCAAGATGAACAATGGACATATATTTATTATGTCTTTATATTTCTATTTATTATTACTTATTTTTAAGTGTTAATGAAGATAGGCCATTTGAATACACGCTCGCTTCCAGCTCACTTTGCTGCCGTTAAAAATATTATACAAACAGAATCGTACGATATTTTCACCATGTCGGAGACATGGATCTACCCTGACTCGGATCATGATGCTTACACTATTCCTAACTACCGTCATTTGTTTGTTGGGCGCTCAGCCTCTGATCCTCCTGGTCGTGGGGGCGGTATTGGAATTTATGTAAAGTCTCTTTACAATTTGAATGTCATTTTTAGCGAAGTTTTTCCTTTCATAGAACATTTGTGGATTGAGGTGAGTAGAGGCGAGTTTTTTCTGACGGTTGGTGTTATATATAGACCAAATGTTGATTTTTCCCAATTTTTAACTAGTTTTGAGGATGCCCTATCGCATCTGGTTCTACGATCCGAGGGATTGGTGTGCTTGGGTGATTTCAATATTGATGCTTTTGGTGTGACGGGAGCTTACAGTGGTCGATTACTACCGGCTATTGAGTCATACAATCTGACTCAAATTATTTCATCAGCAACTCGAGTTACAGATACGTCAGCTACACTCATTGATTATGTTATTGTCGATGCAGATGCACCCGTAAACGATTCGGGGGTTATTCCGGTGCATGACATAGCTGACCATTCCTTAGTTTACGTGAACTTAAATTTATCAGGTGTGAAGGCATTGCCTAAAATATTACACTACAGGGATTTTAATAGTTTCAGTTTAGAATTGTTTTCAAGAGATTTAGTAGCAATACCCTGGCAAAATATTGTCAAACTTAACAATATTAACGATAAGGTAAATTTCTTAAACTTTTTTATATTGACTCTCTTTGATGTCTACGCTCCAACACGCATTATTACAACTAGAAAAACTTTTCGCCCTTGGATCACCGACAATATAAAACTGTTGATGAAACTTAGGAATGATGCGTACACTAAATTTAAGAAAACAAGAAATCCGGAAAATTTCAAATACTACAAGGAGATGCGAAATTTCTTCTTTATTCTATTCAAAAAGAGAAGAGGGCGTGTCTGTCACATATGTTAGACAATAAAAATTCTCGTGAACTTTGGCAGAGTTTCCGGTCGATGGGTATTGTTAGTGTCAGGCAACGGACAATTCCTGAATCTATAGGCAACGCCGATCAGGTTAATGAGTTTTTCCTCGATGCACAGATCAGTGTGTTGGGTGACGCCAATTTAATTCGGCATTATCAATCTAATATCTTCCCTGGTGTCATCGAATCACTGTCCTTTTCTCTCGCTTCGGAAGAGGAAATATTGGATATTCTTTGTAACATTAAGACAACTACAGTTGGAGTTGACGGTATTAGTGTTAAAATGTTGAATATGTGTTGTCCAACAATTATACCGTATATATGTCATATTGTGAACTATTGCCTTGAATTGTCTGTGTTTCCTGACCTTTGGAAGATTGCTCAAGTCACGCCAATTCCAAAAACATCCAGCCCTCGGGAACTTAAAGATCTCCGCCCCATAAGTATTTTGCCTATATTGTCCAAGATTCTGGAAAAAGTGGTTGCTACTAGACTTACCCAGCATCTAAATAAATTTAATATTCTNTTCCTGTTTCAATATCTTCATGGTCGACATCACTGCTGGTTAGATAAGTGTTTCGATTTTCTTTTCTCAACCAATTATGCAAAGCACATGCTGCTAATACAATTTTATCCACTGTATCTACATTAGCTGCTATTGGTTTTTGAAATACACGAAATCGGCTTGCCAATATCCCAAAGGCATTTTCCACTACACGTCTGGCTCTGGATAGTCGGTAATTGAAAACTTTCTGTGACAATGTTAAGTTGTCGCCTGGATAAGGTTTTAAAATGTATGATTTTAAAGGAAATGCGGCATCAGAAACAATCACTTCACCATTTGGTAAAAGATTATTCTCCAGTTTATTATATATGGAACAATTTTTAAATACCCCTCCATCTGATGACATTCCACAGGATCCGACATCTATACAGGGTGATTCATAAGTAATGGGCCAAATTGTAAATGTACGTTCAGGAGGCCAAAATAATAATATTTTCATTAACAATAATGGGTCTTAGTCTGCTCCTTACTGAGATACAGGATGTTAAAGCGAAAAAAATAAAATAGATTTTTGTTAATAGATCAGCTACTTTTCTACATAATGACTCATAGTTGACTTATAGTTTTTGTAAGGGTAAACAATAATGTGTGAGAGGATTTGAGTTAACTCGTAGATGTCGCCACATGCGCCATATGAATTAGATGAAATCAGCTACAAATTTTTTATCGCTCATTATTTTACAACATACTTGTTTAATTTGGATAGCCCCATCATTTCTGTAGAAAAAAGCTATACTTCTTTGATCTTGAAAATATTAACGATTTTCGAGATATTTGAATTTTACTAATTCACTACACTACATTTCACGGTGGTCGACGTAGCATTAATCTGTTAAGACACAAGCATGGCATGGAATGTTGACATTTACCTAACCGTAATTGATAATTGATAACAATATTAAACTGAAACCATAAAAAAATTACGTAATAAAACAATTTATTGTACGCCAGTTAATAAAACGAAATACAACATTAGAACAGACTTGAACTAAGACCACTTACGACAACTGTTATCAAAACCTACATGTTAATGTTGTGCGAAGTTAAATTAAATTTAAGCTTAATTATGAGCTACTGCAAAAGGTTTTCAACATGACCACCACCAGCATTTATACACGCATTTAACCGTTTGGTTAAGGATTGTCTGACTTTAAAAAATGTAGCAGGATTATTTCGTATTGAATTGGCTGCATCTTGAATTCTATTCCATAACTCGTCTCGTGTATTTATAGTAGGTTCAGCATAGACCATTGATTTCATGTAACCCCACACATAAAAATCAAGTGGATTAAAATCGGGACTGCGAGGTGGCCACTGAAATTCACTACCACGTCCAATCCAACGGTGAGGGAATGTTTCATTCAGATGTTCGCGCACAGCACGTGAAAAATGTGGAGGAGCACCGTCTTGCATGAACCACATATTTCTTCTTAGTTGTAATGGAAGATCTCCCAAGAGGTCGACTAAGTCATTATTTAAAAAAATTAAATATGACTCTCCATTTAAATTAGGAGGTAATTCAACTGGGCCCAGTAATGTATTGCCTATTACACCGCACCACACATTTATTTTAAACTCGTGCTGGAAATGTCTATCTTTTTTTAAACGAGGGTTTTCGGTTTCCCAGGCATGACTATTTCGCCAATTAAAAACTCCGCGTCTGGTAAAGGTTGCTTCATCCGTGAAAAGAATGTTATTTAGGAATGTTGGATTATTATTCAATTTTCCTTTTAGCCACTGACAAAATTGAACTCTGATTCGATAATCTGTTGGAAGTAAATTTTGCACAGGTATAAAATGATAGGGATATAAATTTTCCTTGTGTAAAATTCTAGTCACGGATGGTTGGCTTATTCCAGTTGCTGCAGACAATCGACGAGTGCTTATTTCAGAATTTTGCGCAATTCTTACCAAAATTTCATCTTCTTGCTGCGGAGTGATAATCTTAGGACGTCCTGTATGATATTTTGGACGAAATGAACCTGTTTCACCCAATCGATTATAAATATTTTGAAATATCTTCCGGTTTGGCTGCCTTCTGTAAGGGTACATTTCACGATATTTTCTGGATGCTGCTTGCCCAGAAAAACGTTCTTGTGCGTAAACGCATAACATGTCTCTCATTTCTTCGTTTGAAAAGTGATTATGTCTCGGCATTTTGATTTATGTTAGGACAAGAATGAATCAGTTTACTTAACAATAAAATGTTTTAAACTATTCATTAAACGTAAAAGCTCATTGACGTTTCATAATTCATATGGCGCATGTGGCGACATCTACGAGTTAACTCAAATCCTCTCACACATTATTGTTTACCCTTACAAAAACTATAAGTCAACTATGAGTCATTATGTAGAAAAGTAGCTGATCTATTAACAAAAATCTATTTTATTTTTTTCGCTTTAACATCCTGTATCTCAGTAAGGAGCAGACTAAGACCCATTATTGTTAATGAAAATATTATTATTTTGGCCTCCTGAACGTACATTTACAATTTGGCCCATTACTTATGAATCACCCTGTATATCGAAAACAATAGTCGTAATCAACTATTGCCATAAGAACTATACTGAATACATTTTTATAATTGAAATATATAGTTCCACTATTACCAGGAGCTAAAATTTGAATATGCTTTCCATCAATGGCACCGTAGCAAAATAGGAAATTCCATCTGTTTCTAAATCCATTTTCTATTTCCGCCCATTCTTCGAAATTAGTAGGGATCTGTAAAAATATACAGTTTATAATTAGTAAAATGATTGTTTTTTTTTCAGGACAGTGAAGAGTCAGCAGTGGATGAAGAACGAACCAATACTGAAAATCTGAATATCGATAATGTTAACAATGATGACAATGATGCAATGTCAGAAAATTTTTCACAATCTACGTCTACATCAAATAATATAACGCAACGCAACAAGTCCGCGGAAATAACTACGAAAACAACAGTACCAGCTGCTGCGAAACCATCTACATCTAAATCACAGCTCAAAGTGCCAGAGACACCAGCCCCAAAAAAGAAAAAAATTGCGCAAGTGGCAACATTGGTCAACGAAATTAGGTCGCTCACGAATGATTTAAATAGAGACCATACAATAATACCACAACAAAATGAACACGATATTTTTGGAGCATTTGTAGCTAGCCAACTTAAAATGTTATCATCTATTCAGGCTATTACTGCTCGGGATGAAATTAATGCTACATTATCTTGTTGTCGAAAGACGGATTTAAATTATAGTAATACAACATTTTCATACCAGACACCGAGTCACGAGTCTTCAGACACGGCATTCAGCATTGACTATGAAGATTCAACGAACGTTTTCGATGTGATTACCACAGCATTCAAAAATGCATAATGTTGTGGAGGTGGAAAAACATCACATTCTTCGTTATTATTCCCAAATGTATTTTTAATAAATAAAAAATAATACAAACCTTAATGTTTTCTTCCAATACCTTGTAGATTTCGACACATACTTCTGGTATAAATTTGCCTATAGCACATCTTGAAACCCGATAAAAGTGACTAAGCCTCCTGTAACTAATACCGGACGAAAGAAAATCTAAAGTGATCTCCAATTTTATTCTTGCAGGTAACGCCTGTCTCATTATTGTATCCATTCCTTGTATTTTTGGCGTCACAAGACTCAACAGAATATCAAACATATCGGGCGTCATTCGCAAAATACTCTTGTACTCGCCTATATCGTTATTGCAAAGTTCTTTTAAAAGTAAAGCAGATGATCCACGTTCATTCCTTCTTAAAAGCCATGGTCTTGTCCATACACGTTTTTCTAATACATCTTCTAGTAATTCGTCTAATGCAAATTGACATAGTTTCCGAAGTAACTGTTTCAGTCGTATTGTGTTTTTCTTACGAATGCAGTTCATTTTACTTCACGGACGTTTTGTACCGTCAATACCGTCAACCGTCTGCAATGGTACTGGCTTGGCTGGGTTAAAATTACTGGCATCATGTAAACAGCACTAGCATCTTCCAAGCGAAGACAGCAAGCCAGGACAGTTATCTAGCTTACCTAGCTTGCTATCCTAGCTTACAAAACTAGCCTCGTGTATCCCGGGCATAAATGTATAACGCGATCATTCACCAACTTTTTCATTTAAAAACTGCTCAACTTTTTACAGAGTTTCGTCGATAACCACTCCAAGCATACGTACCCGTTCTTCAGTTGTATATAAACGATGATTGAAGGTTATAGTATTGGAATAAGAGCTATTTGTAGTTTTAAACAGAATAACGTTAGTCTTGTCATGGTTTATAATGAGGTCGTTGGTGGTTAGCCAATTTTCTACAGTATTTAACAATTCTGAACCACCAGTAACAATAGATTCAAATGTATCACCATATAATAGAAAGCTGGTATCGTCAGCGTAGTTAATAGCGGAGAAGTTTGCATTTACGTGTTCGGTAGCACTGTGTATATCATTTATGTATATCAGGAACAATATAGGACCCAGTATACTGCCCTGCGGTACACCTCTCGACATAGTGATCTCCCTTGAAATAATTGGAACGCCATTTTCCGTAATTCGCACATTTTGTTTTCTATTACATAGGTACGAAGCAAACCAATCAAGAGCGATTCCCCTCATCCCACACGAGTCCAATTTCGAGATCAGTATTTTGTGATTAATCGTGTCGAACGCCTTCGATAATATCTCCTCTCTCCAAAGCATCATAAATGTCGCACGTGTACGTGAATAATGCAGTTTCCACACTTCTCCGTTTCAGAAAACCATGTTGGCGCTCGCTCAGTAATTTGTGCTTTTCTAAATAATTATACAGTCTGTTGTAGACTACTTTTTCAAAGATCTTAGAGAAGCCAGTTAGCAAACTGATTGGAAATATCGTTTGAATCGCCTTTCTTATATAGTGGTATAAGCATTCCCTTTTTAGGTATTCAGGGAATATCCCGCACTGCAGAGATTGGTTTATTATGTGGCATATCGGATCCATAAAAGTTGGTGGACATTTTTTTAGGAAGTTGATTGGTATTCCATCAATACCACATGCCTGCGAGTAACTCAGCGTTTTTACAATCGAAACCAGTTCGTCTTTGCAAACTGGGAAAAAATAAAACGTATGTGGACAACTATTGTAACTTGTGTTTAAATCTTTTCCAACTATATCAGGCAAACCACCGGCAATGCTAGAGAACATGTTATTAAAATCATCAGCCAGAGATTGAAGGTCATCCGTGAAGGGGAGATTGGATGACTTTTGCTTCCCTGTATGTTCATTAATTATTTTCCACATACTTTTGTTCTTATTAGTTGACCGTTCAAGTATATGATTATTCCGTTTGCGTTTAAGCTGGTTAATTACGGTGTCATAAAGATTTTTGTATAAATTATAGGTTGATTTAAAGTCACAGTCGAATGTAGCAACCGTCTGTACAGCCGAAACCAAGTTAGAACAGCCGAAAGAATCTATTAAAGTAATTCACATAGGTCTTTAAAAAATTAGAAAATTTGTCATTAATATCGAGATCATCATCGTACACATCAACCCAGGTTTCACAAGATACTGCGCCTACAAAATTATTTATTGAATACTTATTAATTACTCTTATTTCCTTAAATAATGGTTTCGGCTTTATATCGTATTTTCTAGTGGCTGTTAAAACATTATGATCAGAGTAGGTGGTACGTTGTGAGGTCGTAGCTACAATGGTAGGGCTTTTAGCACGCGATGGGTTTATAAGAATTACATTGTCTAAACAAGTTTGAGCTGTTTTAGCTATCCTGGTAGGTACACGAAACAATATTTCGGCATAAAAGCTAGCTAATAAATTTAGAAATACATTACATTCTTGAGTATCACAACAGAGATCTACATTAAAATCCCCTGCCATGACCGTTTGATGACCACGAGCGAATATACTATTTAACATATTTTCAAAATTGTAGCAAAAAACATTAAAATTACTAGTCGGTGTACGATACAAGCATACTACCGTAAAAAGGTTTTTATTTATAATGGTATCGACACTACAGCACTCGAAGACACTTTCAGTTGCCATATTGTTTATGAAAAGGTTGTTGGACGCATCTTGAGTATCCTTTGATATGTATATAGCTGATGCTCCTTTTTGTGGTTGCTGTCTACAGTAGTGCGCTGACAGCTTGAAACCCGGTATACTAACACGTTTCAGGTTATCTAAATTTAGAAAATGTTCCGTAATACAGATTATTTTGCAGTTTTGCGATAAACTTATTTCTACTGGGAGGCCTAATACTGCTGTGGTTAAACCCTGAATGCCTTTCGGAACACTCTTGATTTAATTCTTGCTAATTTTTCTAATATATCTTCTATTTCATTAAGCACGCATCCTCTGATTCTTGAGAATCGTGCTTATACCACTTTGGAATTCTTCTGGTCGTTTGAAAAACCGCACTGTAAGGTATGACTAATAGTAATGTTGCTATTAATATTAAGTAGGTTAGGAGTAATAAGGTTATTTAATAAGGTTAGTACGACAAACATAACAAGGTTTGTTGTGTTACGTTAGCAGTAAGTCTAGTATAAGTATGGTGTAATTAATTGTAAAAGATATAGTTACAAAGAAGTCAAATAGAAGTTAAGACAACGATACAGTCTTTAATTATTAATTGATCACCTTTACCAATCTTCCCAATACTTAATAGAGAAGAACACTTATTAAGTTATTACAACACCGTCTTCCTACTGAATCTTCTAACGTGTTTAACTTCAGACGACGCACAATGGGGTATTTGCCCATTCTAGCTGGACAAAATTATTTTTCTATTTTCATCCCTTAAAATGTTTTTTTTATTTTCAGATACAGGGTAATGCAAAATACACACTTTTAGGTGCGAAATGTTAAACTTTTTTTTTTATTTTAAACCCTAAATTGTAATATACAGGATGATGCGAAAGATTTCAAGGGTTGATTTTTCAGCAAAAATTAAGGTGTATCTTTCATATAACTTTTTGTTCAAAACCCCTTCTCCTCCAAGTTACAGCCCTCTAAAGTTAGGGAAAAAATTGTTTTTATTTAATAAATCCACTATGGAGGAATTTAGAAGAATGAAATTTGGCAGATAATTGTTGTTAATAAAATGACACCTTTTGACGATATTTATAACCCTAAAATGTTATTACAAGGGGGTGAAAAAATCAACCCCTATAATACTTTGCATCAGAACGTTTTAATGCGTCTACATTTTTCTATTTTAAATTTTGGTTTAAACAAAGTGGTTCAATCTGCAAACTTTTTTCTCTCCAGACATTTTCTCCCAACATTGTTAGTTTGGTCACAAAAAAATAAAATAAAGCATAGGCTCATTTAACATAGGTAATTCAGATTGGTTATTATTTGTAAAGAAAAATCAAGTAGGCAAATAAAGTCATATGACAAATATTTTTATTACAGGCATTTTTCATAGTGGATATTTCATCAGGGACATATGTATTAAATAAAAGCAATTTTCCCCTTAACTTTAGAGGGCTGTAAATGGGAGTGGAGGGGGTTTTGAACAAATTGCTGAAAAATCACCCCTTGAAATGTCTTGCATTAATTTAGAAACACCTATATATTATGTACTTATACATATGGTAGGTACATACATATGTAGGTATTTCACTGTAGGATTAATCATAATAATATGTTAACTAATAAATTAAGACCGTTTTGCTTCAATTTTACATATACCTCTTGTATATATAAAGGTACGTTTTCCTCCTTGGTCGCCGGTCGCCGACGACTGCGACTGATTCGCTGACGAATTTCGACTTCACGAAAAGTGAAGGAAAAAGGAAAAAAATATCATCCATGTTTCAGCGGAGAAAATTGCACGAATTTCAATCAATATTAATAAACCAGTATTTAAAAGGCAATGAAACAAGATTTAAAGAGTTTTTTCGAATCACACGCCATCAATTTCATTATATATTGGAACTCATCCAAGATGATCTTGTAACAAAACCCTACAACCGTGTGAAGGATCCAATAACACCAGGACAAAAATTGGCAATAACGTTAAGGTAATCAAATTTCCTTTATTCTTACTATATTTACTATATTTTAAGTAAAAATGCAACATTATTAAAGCTATTGTTTTATTCAGTAAGTCAATTAAAAAAATGTGCTGCATTAGAGCAATCTTACTGGTCATTGGATTCGCCCACATGATAATTTCTTTGTTCCCAGCTTGAAGGAGAGGGTGAGCTAGTACAGCTGGTTTCGTATGAATATAGCCGAGAAGGTTGTGCTGCTTCTGGGAGCAGTGCTTCCACTTCAGCTTCTGACATAACATTAAAATTTTTGCTTTTCGTCTGTGCCTTTAATAGTGGTGTAAATTTTTTTACATTCATCGCAAGAGTTTGGAAAAACATGTCTGTTTCGTCTTCAGTTGACACAGTTTATGCCGAATTTAGTTGACTATTATAACTTCTCTTTCCAACCGATTTTTCTTTACTGCAGCCAAAATTTCATGTGGCTTTCTTTTCGACGCGCTGCATGTTGGCACTTCAGGCGCTATTTCCTCCTGTATACTTTCGTCAGATTCTTCTGCGTTCATTTCAGTGTTCGCTTCCCTAGCAACCGATTGTATATTATCAACTTGCATATTTGTCAGCACGCTGCAATAGTAAAGATATATAAATGTATTTATTTTTTTCTTAACCGGTAATCTACATCTAAAAACCCTAACTGATCCAAAATTGGATTTCTTTTCCGGTTCTTTGAGGCACTTCCTGTTGGCATTTGGGTGTTCTTTATTTGTTTGTAATAATTGTCCCGAATGTTCTTCCACCTTTTTTTGCAAGACGCAACTTAAAAGAAATGTTAATATTTAAAATTTTATACGTCATATTATTTAAGAATTCTCTTTTTTACAGGTTTCTTGCAACAGGGGAGTCTTACAGATCTATATCATTTGCGTTTCGAATCTCCCACAGCTACATCAGCGTGTTTGTACCAGTTGTCATACATAGTTTGTGTAAAAAATTAATGCCAATTCTACTACCACAACCTTCAAAATTTGATTTAAAAGGAAAGGCTGACGAATTTTGGAATCGTTGGAATTTTCCTAACGTTATTGCAGCCATCGACGGAACACTATTTTTTAACTATAAAAATTATTTTTCAATAGTGCTGTTAGCTCTTGTTGATGCTAATTACAAATTTCTTTATGTGGACATTGGATCATATGGGAAAGAGGGCTATGCAGGAATTTTGTTCAAATCTGATATTGAACAACAAATTTACGGTGAAAAATTCAATTTCCCTCCACCAGCATTACTTCCCCGTTCAAAAAAATTGATTTTATCACATGTTATTGTTGGAGATGATGCGTTTAAACTTGACAAATATGTCATGAAACCTTACCCAAAAAAGCAAGTTTTAGAGGACAAAAAGAAAACAGTTTTTAATTACAGACTGTCTCGGGTTAGAAGAGTAACAGAAAACGCTTTTGGTATACTTTGCCATGTATTTCGAATTTTTTTTTCTCCTATTAATGTAAAATCTAGTACTGTTGATCTAATTATTCTTGCTTGCTGTTGTATACATAATATGTTGCGTAACGAATGTACACTTAACAATCCGAGACAAATGTATTTAGAGGAAAACCTTTTTCCACTTTCTACTGAAAATATGATTCCTCTCAAAGGAACAGGAGGATTTGCTTGCGCCGAAGGTTTTCAAGTACGTAGCAGATTTGCAGATTATTTTGCAAACGAAAGTGCCGTAATCTAGCAAGAAAGCAAAGTTTAACAATATTCTATTATCTTGTACTGTTCGTTAAATTACTAACAAAAAATAAATTAAATTGTTAATAATGTTAACGGATATTACTCTGACCTTATGTCAATTCCCTCTGGCGTCCCTCAGGGTAGCCATCTCGGACCCTTGCTATTTAATCTCTATATTAACGATATATTCAAGGTTGTGAAGCATCGTGAATGTTTAATGTAAGCAGATGATCTCAAGCTTTATCTGCTTATATTCTCTCATATGGACTGCTCTAGGCTGCAGACTGACCTTCTTAGGATTTCTAACTTTTGCACTAAAAACCACTCGACCCTAAATCTGTCTAAATATAATGTTATTTCTTTTTCGGGAAGAAAGAGTACAATTACAGCATCGCTGGTGAAAACCTAACACGCGTTTCATTTATTAGAGACCTTGGAGTGACCCTCGATTCCAAGCTTCTTTATGCACAGCACATTGACACTACTGTTAATAATAGCGTCGCCGGTGTAATGACGTATTATTCTTCTACAAGATTTTACACAATATGTGTGATTTCACAGTTCTTTTGAAATCCCCGTCTACTTCGCTATAATTTCTTGTTCTGTACGCTTATTCCGCGCACCAATGCTTTTAGGAACTGATATCGATTTATTTCAGGACTAATTTTTTACATTTAGGCGCTTACTTTGTAATGCTGTCAGCGCATTACTTCCTACGTTTTGGTAGTTCAGGATTTTCGTTGGTTCAGTCTTTTTATAATGTTTAATTTCGTCGTTATTATTAGGCATTGTTTATTTATTTTACTTTTTGCTTTATTGTATTATTTTTTTTTATAATGGTATTTGAATTCCGCTGTTTTTACTTTGAGTTTAATCTGATTTTTAATCGTTCGCCTTAATTTTGATTTTTTTTTATTCCATTTTCCTTATTACACGCTTTCTTTATTGATCATTCTTCAAATCGTCGATACATTTGGTGCTCAATAATGTGACTGAGAATTGCTCGTTGTTCCTTTGTGTAGCGTTCTATAATTAATAATCGGAATAATCGCAAATGATAGCTAAACCGATAGTTAAATTTCAGATATGCCACTGGCACAGAAACAAAAAATGGCGTAAAAATTTATATCGGGTAATCTTATTGGGATATTCTTTATTTTATCTACATATAAGCATTTGATAAGTATCTGGTTCGCTGTATTGTACGAGTTACTAACAAAGGAAATGAAACGGAGTTGGATATTATCATGACTGGATTATTAGGACTACTTAATTAGTTTCATTTTAAAATAAATAAATACTTCTAATAGACTTGAAGTAAAGTTCAATTATTTAATTTTGCCATACATAATATTCACATTTTGTGAAGTGTTTTAATCTAATCCCAATTTTACGATGTCACCGTTTTCGTTAACGTAATGCGAATAAGTCCCGTCTCCAACTTTATCAATTGTTTTCTTTACTAATTCATCAGATGGTGATTTTAAATCGTAAGCTAAACCTAACTTTGCGGCAAGATTCAGGAAATGAGTCGTTAAGTTCCATTTTCCGTACTCAGAAGCTTTGTAATCCCAGGGAAATGTGTGATGATAATTATGCCAACCTTCGCCTACACTAACTATGCTCACAAACAAATTTTCTCTTGGATTAATAGTCCTAGAAAATGTAACAATAGACATTTAGGGTAATTTAAAGACCATTTTTAACTATACTTATTATAAGGTTTATTTCCGTATAGATGGGCTGCACTATTCACCAACCAAATTACATTTAACAAAATCACGTATCTGCCTAGTTGAGATAAAAAACTCCAAAACCAAGATTCTTCTAAATAATATCGCATGAACGTACAGGGAATGAGGAAACAGAACAATATCATGAGATAACTTATGTTTCTGTCGAACCAAACCAGAATTGGATCATTTTTTATGTCGCTCATATCAATACTAGCTCCTTTTCTAATCACTTCCGGATGTTTTTTTATCATTAACCACCCAATATGAGCGAAAAAAAAACCACGGTTGGAATTGTGTGGATCTGCGTCGGTTTCTGAGTATTTATGATGGACACGATGGTCTCTAACCCATTCAAAAAGTTTATTCTGAAATCAAAATGATTGAAATAAAGCTATGTTAACGGTTGAACATTTTTATACCTGTCCAGAAGCGGCGTACATCATCAAAAAGAATAGTTTTAATGGAAGACTTGCTTTAAATGTGCGGTGAGTAAAATAACGATGAACTCCCGCTGTTACACCCAACCCAATAAAGTGGACATAAACGATACCTTAAAGAAAGTATTTTTCAACGTAATGAAAAAAATTCAAATAATGTAACTTACTACATAAAACTAATTTCCATTTTTGAATCCATGGAAAAGTAATTATACTGAAGAACAATAGTAGATGTAAACTGGCGAAGAAGATGATGTTATTGTATTTAAGTTCCTGCTGGAATTTAAAACCAAAAATATTGTATTTACCAAACATTTTTGGTGTTTCTTGATGATTATCATTTAATTTTTTCATTGACTTTATTAAGGGGGCGCCAGAATCTTTAGGAGCCATGATAACTTAATAAACTAAAAGAGTATAAGAAATATATTACATTATCAGAGAGTTTAAATATTTAAAAAACTTACTTCTTTTTGGCCAGTCTGTTGTTTACAGAGAGTGAAATCAAAAATCGTTTTATATATGATGATTTTTATGATAATTTCTACGTAATAGCAACATTATACTTACATTATCCACACAATCACATAATTTGAATACAAAGAATTTTACTTTTCTAAACTTTTCTAAATTTAATTTGAAAGAATACATAATTTAGTATTTTCGTTAAAATTTCCACACAATAGTTCAACATTTAGACATATAAATTTTATAACTGATTACTATTCAGAATTACACTACTGAAGAAAATGAAAATATACCTTAGAACATATCTTACGCAAAATGTCTTTTACAGTATTAAATAGTAGTATTAAATTTTTCTTTGTTTCTTCTTTGACGTATTGTAAACTTTATTTTACACTCAATAAATTACACTGCACAACAATATGGCAACTTTTCTCTGATGATTGACTTTTATCACGTGATATTTACTAATTTGACGTCGCTGATTTCAAATACACCCTGAGTTTTTTTGTGACAGCTCTTGTTTACGAGATATAGCTTTCACGAAAAAATCGCTGTGTTAGTGTGTTAATTTGCTTGTAATTCAGAAAATATTAAGTTTTATTAATATAATTTGATATGGCATCGTCAAGAAGACTTTGTGTCAATGATTTCAATAATTTTTGTTTCGTTTGCGGAGAGTATATACTTAAAGAATACCGTTTGAATGCGACAGCGTTCGTGATTGAGGCTTAACAAATTACTTTGGTCACACACAAGAAATGAAAGACAAGCCTTGGATTCCGCAAAAGGTATGCAAAACGTGCGTTGAGTTTCTACGTTTGTGGACAAATAAGAAAAGGAATAGCTTTAGGTGCGAAACCGCTATGATCTGGACTGAACCCTTGAACCACCACTACGACTGTTATTTTTGTTTGGTGAACATAACTGGCGTTAACCGAAAAAATCGAGCTACCACGATACGGTTGGCACATAGACGTGTTTTGAGTCCTAAAATATCACTTGCACCTCAAACTGATGCTTCACAGGAGGAGCCTATGCATTTTGAGACGAAAACTGACAGTAGTGATAGTGACTTTGAATGTGACCTGAAAGCGCCAAAATTATTCAACCAAGATGATTAAAAGGACCTTGTCAGAGATCTGGGACTGTCAAAGGCTGCTTCAGAAATTTTGGCTTCTAGGCATAAACAAAGAAACTTAGTAACAAAAGAAACGAAAATTTCTTATTAATGATAATAATAATAAATGACTTTATTGTCTCCATTACAAAGAACAAACTACAATACAAATATATACATAATATATGGAGATCAAACGGCGAGATCCAGAATAGTATGTTCTATCCAACCGTAAAATTAAAAAAAAAATTCTATGAATTATAACAAATAAAAAGAAAGAAAAAAAACAAAGGCAAAATCTTGAAATCATTAATACAGTATCACCCGCATCATATCAAATCTAAATTTAAACATAATTAAATTAAATGAAAGGGCCCAAAAGACCCAAACGTAAATTAAATGAAAGAGAAAAAAAAAGAAAGAAGAGGAGAAAAAAAAAACAATAATAATGAAAATTAAAAAAGGACTCAGTGTAATAACTGATGGCGTAACTGTTAACATCGTAACAATGACTTTATATCAATAAGAATGAGGTCACAAAAAAATCACAGAGAAACAAAGAATAACAAACATCAGACAAGACCCGTTGACTGCTGAAAAATCATATTCCTCAATTTTATTCGAAATTGGTCATATTTCAGTTGACGTAGAGCATGTGGCAAGCTTCCATACGATTTATAAACATGATATGTAAATGACCTTTGAAAAAGTGATGTTCTATGTTTTGGAGGATAGAAAGTAATACCTGACCTTGTCTGACTTCCTTCGCACTGTGGTTTATATTTAATTTTATTATGCAGGTGCTCCGGGACTCCAGAGGTAACGATTCTATGATAGAGAGACAAACTGTGAAACTCCCGTCGAGAGCTCATGTTCAGCCACCCAGCATCCTTAAGTTTATGAGAAACTCTATCAAATTTGCGAATCCCATAAATGAATTTGAGGTAACTATTCTGAACCTTTTGTATACTTCGTGACGTGACTGCATCTATAGCCCTATGATATACAGCAGGCATATAATTAAATTGTGAAAGAACAAACATATCACAGAGGAGTACTTTTAATTTCAAAGGTAAACATGAACGATGCGGGTACAGCCGACGCAAAAAAATATGATCTCTGAATATATGTTTGAATTTGTTTTCTAAATCTTAAGCTAGTGTCTAAAATCATACCAAGACACTTAGCTTCAGAGACCTTTTTAATTAAGGTGTTATTCATCTTAATGGCTAAGTGCGAAGTAGGGTTGCGCTGTTGCCCATTAAAACTCATCCACATAGATTTGTCAGGATTTATTTTAAGCTAGTGGTATCTTGCTAATTCAAAAATCATATCAAGGTCACCGCTAATACCAGCCTCAGCAATACCACTGCCCGCTGTCGCGTATGAATCGTAAAGCTGGGTATCATCCGCATATGTACTCATTTTACAGAATTTAATAAATTTATTAAATTGTGACGTATAGATAGAAAATAAACTAGGTCCCAGCACAGATCCTTGGGGAACACCATTACAAAGTGCGAGTTCACCAGAAATGGCATCATCAACTTTCACCCTCTGTGTGCGATCACTAAGATAGTTACTCAATAGTGTTACTGCGCCTTCACCAAAACCCAGATAACGAAGTAGTTTGCTCAAAATGGTGTGGTTAACAGTGTCAAATGCTTTTGAATAGTCTAAAAAACCACAGCAGTACTCTCTCCCACGTCAAGAGCGGACAATATATCATCAGTTAGATTTAACATTGATGTTGTGCAACTATACCCACATCGAAAACCCGGTTGTTCTGAAGGGAGCAAACTATTGGTCTCCATATACTCCACCAATTGAGCCTTCATAACCTTTTCTAAAACTTTAGAAAGAACAGGAAGAATACTGATTGGTCGCAAGTCACTATACTCTCGTGGGTTATCCTTTTTGAGCAGAGGAATAACCTCTGTGCGTTTCCATTCCAAGGGAAAGACATGGCCAACTAAACAACAATTGAGTATGTGGGTTAAATATGGCAAAATGGTGGGGCAACACAGTTTGATCATCTCAATGGAAATTCCATCAGTACCAATAGCAGAAAATGTAATAGATGCAATCACGTCAAAAACCAGAGAGATGTCCACAGTCTAAAGTGAAAACTCACTACTATAAATAGGAGAACTGTACAGATCAAGGTCAGAAGCCTGTAAATCTTTAATAATGTCATTTACACTGCCTACAAAATAATTATTAATCTGATCAGGATGTTTTAAATTTAAAGGTAGACAAGATTTTTGAATTGGTTTCAAGTTCAAAGTTTTCAAGTTATTCTACATCTGTTTGGTATTGCCCGTAGCAGCAATAGAACCAAAATAAGCTCGCTTTTCATTCCTTATAGCTGCAATAGTAAGATTACGAAGGGTTTTATAATATTCCCAATCAGCCGGCCTGCCCGTATGTCTAAATCTGGTTTTAGCCTCATTTCTCAACTTAATCATTAATCTAATATTATCAGTCATCCAGGGTGCGGGAGGCTTGGTAAATCGACATTGCTTTATTGGAGCGTGAATATCAAATAAATCAATTAAGGCTTGTGTAAAGAATGAAACCTTGTCGTTAATATCAGTTAGATAAAATATAAAATTGAATGGAACTCATTGTAAATCATGCAGAAAAGATACACTATTAATACGCCTTAATAGTCGTAGAGACTTAAACACTGGAGATTGTCTACCTACATTCACACCAACAGCGCAAAATACCATATCATGATCAGACAAATTGCACGGGAGCACTCCACTGCGTAGAACCAGTCTTTTCGAACGTTATCAGCAAGTAAGTCTATCAGAGAAGCCGTTCCAAAAGTAATTCTTGTAGGTACATCAATCAATTGTTGACCTCCAAGGGAATTTAGCAAATTCAACAGATACTCACTATCGCAATTATCCATATTGATTAAATTAACATTAAAATCACCGCAACATATAAAATCTCAAATTCATGCAGAAATCCTCTGTAATAAACAGCGGGAGGCTTATACACACCGCCACTCGCAACCAAAACGGACTTTTATCCACAACTGCTCAATCTCGAAAGAAGACGGAATAATGGAGAACTCCAAAAAATCACGTAAAACAAAACAAATTCCGCCACCTCTCGACCCACGATCTCTGCGTATCACATTATATCCATCCACATGAAAAGTGTCATTATCCTGTAGCCAGGTTTCAGACAAGGCCAACACATCCACATTAGTATCAGCAATCAACGTCCTCAAGTCTTCAATTTTTGATCGCAATGATCTGATATTTAAATGTATAATCTTTAGAAAATTGCACGCCATACCGTATAGAGAAAGAGTATCAGAAAAACAGTTAAAGCCAAAGAATGAACAATTCAAAAAGTAAACAAAACAAACAAAAATCAAATTAAATAAGTAAACGAAAAGAAATAAAAAAAAAATACAAAATAAAGAGTAACAGCAATAGAAATGAAAAAAAATATATATATCCAAAAGAAATGAGATAATGCATGCGGAACAAAATCTCCTCAAATATTTTGCTGAAGAAAATGATTTCGTATTTTGTAAAGATTAGAAACCAGTCACGTTTCTAATGAGTGGCATCTCATTCATAGACTCATCAAAACGTAGTCTAAAATGTTGTTCTCTTACCCAATGGGAATAAATTAGGGTCGTTCTCTATTGCACATCCCACAATTGTAAAAGAAGAATATACAACTATTGCTCTGGTTTTAGACATAATTAAATATGTGGAACACAATTGGCTCATATGTGTTGATTTAAAAATGATCAAATTTCTTTTAGGCCAACAAGGTG